ATAAATATGTTGAGCAGTTAACTTTGAGTATGCGTTTGTAGATATCCTTAATCTAAATTGCTGTATCATTTTATGTTAATAATAAATGATGGGATCCATGTCAGAAGGGTAATTAATATAAAAATAAATGCAAAGCTTACACAGCTGATTTTTAACCTAAGTCTGATTCTTCCAATATAATCTATATAGTTGATAATAAATAATTGTAATTATTACGACTTACCCCATATTCTTGGTGACTTCAATTAGGCTTCTCATCATCTTCATCGAATTAAGCTTCTTCTTCTTCCTGGTTATCCAGATGCATCCCATAGGCCACGTAATATTTCTCGGGTTGTAGGCTAATCACTGATCACTAATCACTTTCACTAGATAGATGTTAACACTAGGTACCCCTAGGACAGACTGAGGCGCGCGGCCCGATAGCGCCTCTATTTATACTCCCCGAGTGAAGAGAGGAGCAGAGAAAGTGAGAGCGAGAGAGCAAGAGATTCCTCTAGAGATGCACAGAGGGAAAGGTATACCGGGAGCTGGACATATCGAGAGATGGACATACCCAGAGAGGGAGCGAGAGAGGGAGAGAGAGTGAGGGAGGGAGAGGGAGCTATTCTTATTATTATTTAATCACAATATTATATTATTACCAGAACGGAACCTATCTTCGCCACGTCGTCAGTTATATGATATATTCGTCCGATTTTAATCAAAATTAAACCAAAACTATAAAATAATACAAAATAGCTTCACTTTAAAACAGATGAAAATCTGTTGAAAACTGGAAAAGTTATAGTATTTTTTCTTGAAATTTTCCGAGGGTTTCTATGGCAGCTATATATATGTATATATATAGTCCACCGATTCGCCATGCTCCGACTTATATAAGAGTAAAATTATATAGAAGAATAACTCCAAAGTTTCATGCAAATAGCTTAAATTGGTTCCAAAACACATCTCGCACATCTGTGCATATGATTCTCAACTGGTTTTAACATCCCCGGAACGAAGTGTCTTCTGCCAGCCAAGTCTCACACATGTGTTGTGTTACAAAGTTGCAAGTCATTGTTTATGAGTGTTCAAAGTTAGTAAGTGATCATAAAAACTTACTTATGAGCACATAGTTATTTACTGGTCATAGTTACTGATCATAGTTAATTACTGATCATAGTTACTTACTGAGAGACTAGTTTGCATAGAAACGGACAGACGTACATCTGCTAGATTGACTTGGCTTTTAATTCTGATCCAGAATATATATCCTATATATTTACAAACTTCTGACTAAAATGATAACACCCTGAAAGGGTATAAGCATAAGCATTTTTTATTATGCAAATAATTATCATCTCCACGCTAGTTTCTATGAATATTAATTATCATTATATTTCACAAATAAATATATAAACTTGTATTTTACAAAATCCCCCCATCAGAATTAGCCTGGAATTTCACAAATTTCTAAAACAATTTTCGATTTTATTTATGGTATTGGCCCAAAAGGCATTTGCATAAATTGACCAGGCCAGTAGCCAGAAATAAATAAACAAAACAAACGAAAAACAACAACTACAAAAAATAAGGGTCACACTCTCGCCTGTTTTAGAACTTTCCCCGGAGGCTAGACGCTGAGCCGCACCTGTATATTTATTTTACCTGTAACACCGCCAAAGCCAAAGCTAAAACCAACCAAAATGCCAAACAGCGCACAGCTAATGGCCCAGACTTTGCATACACTGAGCGAAGATTTAGGTAAAGTGGGTCAACTATTTAGTGTTTGATAAATATTTAATAATAAAATAAATAAATATAAATAAATAAAATATTTGAATAAACAAAAATATTGTTTAGAAAAATATATAGTATTTAGTTATCATTTGAAAAATATAATAGTATTCCTAAGTTCCCCCTAAACAAGCTTGTATAATATAATTATATATTTTTATCCAATTTCCTTTAATTTTTAATTTCCCAAATATTTGTATTAATTGAAATTCCTAGAATTTTTTCTCAGTGCCTGCACGTGAGTGAGTTTAGTGGCCGTGTTTTGGCCACACTTTTGCTCTTGTTACAGTTCAAGTGCCGGCGTGCGTACAAAATTAACCAACAAACTAAATTGAGTGGAAACATTTCTGTTTTGTTTGTATTTTCGTTTGCATTTTGTAGCTTCTATTTTTTTTTTTAAGCCAACACAGCCACATGCTAATTATAATTACAGTGATTAAAATCAAAGTGAAAAGCAAGCACATCAGCCTGCTAAATGGGCGTAAGTGTAATAAATTAAATTAGTTAGATTCATCTCAAATGGGAGGTTCTTCTTGGAAGAGTAGAGAGGAAAATGGAGAAAATATATACAACATTAAATCTATAATTAAATTTAAGTGTATGTACTTTTTTGAACTATTTTTTAAACTTTGTTTACAACGCGTTTGATTTTTATTTAGACTTTAAACTGACTTTAAATCTCTCGCAGAAGAAAAAAATAAATCCATTACTAAGTTAAGATATTAAAAACAAAAATAATAATAATAATTAGGTTTAGGTAAATTAATTTATTTCTTTAATATTTTTAACGGAAGTTTTGATTTGGAAGAAGAATTTATAAGACTTAAAATCAAAGAAACTTCAAAGAAATCTAAGCTCTTGCATAAATAAATCTTTAATTAAGACAATAAATAAATATAAAAAAAAGAAATGGAATATTTGATTTTTCTTTATAATATTTTAATTGTTTTAAAGGCGATTTCATTAAGTTAAGCATTTTTTTCAGATTTAAATTCAAAGCAAAAGAAACCCTTGCTAAGAAAATGATTTTATATGTTTAAAAATTTTTAGAGAAACAAATATATTTAAAAAAAAGTTATCTAACCTATTTATTAATTTATTTAATATTTTTTTAAGGTATTTGAATTTAATTTAAATTTTTTGCAGACCCAAAAACAAAGAGACTTCAGGGCAATAAAAGAATAAATGAGGGAAGCCCTAATCCTAGCTCAGTGTGCAAAAGATCATGTTGAAAATGTATCTATAAATATTTATATCCCTTAAAATTACAACTAAAACTACAAATTCAAATCAAAATAGATAAAGTTATACATTTTCCCCGCTTGAACCTAACTTAATCTTTAGCAAAATAATATTTTTAAAGGTATTTGGATTTAATTTAGATTTTTTGCAGACCTAAAATCAAAGAGACTTCAGGGCAATAAAAGAATAAATGAGGGAAGCCCTAATCCTAGCTCAGTGTGCAAAATATCATGTTATATATAAATACAACTAAAACTTTAAATTCAAATCAAATTAGATCAAGTTAAACATTTTCCCCGCTTGAACCTAACGTAATCTTTAGCGAAATAATTTTTTTAAAGGTATTTGAATTAAATTAAGATTTTTTGCAAACCTAAAATCAAAGAATAAATGAGGGAAGCCCTAATCCTAGCTCATTGTGCAAAAGATCATGTTAAAAAAGTACCTATAAATATTTATATCTCTTAAAACTTTAAATTCAAATCAAAATAGATAAAAAATTAAACATTTTCCCCGCTTGAATCTAACTTAATCTTTAGCGAAATCTGTGTAATATCAGGCATGCAAAGCGATGCGGGCCATTACTCAGACTCAGACCGCGACTCAGACAACAGACTCTCCCATTTCGAAAACGCACACTCACACTCGATATCTGTGGGTGCTATATGCACATATTATACCTATACCTGCATATATATGTATATATGTATATACAACTCGAATATATTACGAACGTGCCTGACATACGCAATTTATGCGTAGAATTTGCAATGGCTGCTGGCCAAATGTGGATCGAGGTTGACAAGTGAAACCCGCTTACCTGATCGACCATCGCATAGAACAGGTGCGACGCGGTCATTGACAGTCATCCAACAATTCCAACTTGGCCAGCACTTTCACTTGGCGGCGTCATTAGCATGGCATCATCATCATCATCATCATCATCTTGGCCACGATCTCCATTACCATCATCATTGTTATCATCTTGACAGCGATTGTGTCTGATCGAGCGGCAGAGAGTTAAGTAATCTCCCGGCCAAGTTGTGACTTCTTCTCAGCTCTGATATCATAATAAGCGAAAACTATAGCTAATTTATAATGGAAGAAGTTGGTTAATGGGGTTAGATATTGAACAAAACAATGTGTATATTAAACAAAAGATTTCAGATAAGATGAGAAATTAGTCACATAAAATATTAAAGTCATTATATGATAAGGTTAGTAGAAGAAATTAAAAATTGAATATTATAAAACCAAAAAAATATGTTTAGTAAACAAAAGATTTTAGAAATGATGAGAAATTAGGTATATAAAATATTAAAATCATTATATGTGACAAAGAAAATATGATAAGGTTAGTAGAAGAAATGAAAAATTGAAGAATATAAAACCAAAAAATATGTTTAGTAAACAAAAGATTTCAGATAAGATGAGAAATTAGTCACATAAAATATTAAAGTCATTATATGACAAAGAAAATAAGATAAGGTTAGTAGAAGAAATGAAAAATTGAAGAATATAAAACCAAAAAATATGTTTAGTAAACAAAAGATTTCAAATAAGATGAGAAATTAGTCACATAAAATATTAAAGTGATTATATGACAAAGAAAATAAAATAATATGAATAATAGAATAGAATAACTAAAAAATTGAATAATATAAATTACAAGTTGGGTTTATAAATTAAAATAATATACAAAACATAATAACATTCATTTAAAACATGAAAAACCAAAGAGAAAAGTTTAAAAAATAAAAGAAATACATTAAAGAAAAAAATGAAATGATTTTGTGGGCCAAATTGAAAACAAACTGTTTAATTTAAATAATATTTATCCAAATGTAAAATTTAATTTAGTTTAAATAATATTTCATTTAATTGAATGCAAATAATAAACATGTTGTTAGTATATTTACTTTAATTGAAAATACTCTTTAATGTAATGCAATATTTCATCAAATCAAACACACTTCAAATTGTAGACAGAAAAATAGAGATTAGCCTTTTATTTTTATTTGCTTGGCCCAACAACAACAACAAGTTTGATTAAGATTAAAGAGTCCCATCGATCTCTGTGCGATAATCCACGCCAATATGCGATAGCATTTACGATTACGTTTACTTTAATATCGTTAACAGCAGCAGGAAATTACGTAATGTATAGTAAGAGATTTTGTATAGAATGCGAATTACTTGTGCTTTGTAGAGGATTTAGCAGTTGAAGGCATAAGCTAAGAGTGCCTCTTCTTCGTCGAGGAGGAGCAACTGGCCTCATCATCGCTGGCCCTATCGATATCGGAGCTATCGAACGATAATTTCGCTGGCGCCATGGCCGGCAGCAGGAGAAACTCGTTGAACAGGAAATCAGCATCCATGGACTGTGTCTTGGCATGATAGCCGCGAACAATGCCCCGCTTGGGTGGCTCAATGAACCGCTCCTTGACGATCAGTGCCCCAGGTGAGGGTGACGGCGATGGCGTTGGGGAAGCCGATGCTGAAGCCGAGGCAGAGGAGCAACATGGATTGCCCAGGCGTCCATAGAGAGCTGGCATCGGTGCCGGTTGTGCTCGTCCTCGCTCTGCTGGCATAGCTCCACTTGCTGCAGTTCCTCCCGCTCCTGCTCCTGCTCCGGCTTCACCTCCTCCTCCTCGCTGATGCTGTGGTGATCCCCCGGCCAGGACACCGCTACTTCCGCTCTTGAGATTAATACAACTCTGGGTATGACTCACATTGCCGTAATCACCGCCGGTGGCCTGCATGGGCACTCGCTTCAGGGTGTTGCTCTCAAAGGGAAAGTTCGAGTTGGATGTGGACTGCGTTAAATTCTCGAATTTGCGCAGGCGTGCATCCTGGCGCAGATGTTGAGCTCCAGCTGCCGGCAAATTGATGGAAGCATGTAGAATGGCACCACCGCCACCCGTAGAGTCGGACTTCTCCTGCGCCACGCCTCCACTGCCGCCTCCGCCTCCGCCACCCTCAAACAGACTGATTTGCTTTTGTATACGCGGCGAGACGGGATCATGGGCACGACGGGCCACAGGCATGGGACGTCCATGCTCCGGTGATGCCTGGGTCACACGAACGGGCAGGGCGAAGCCATACCGCGGATCATCGGTGTCCACTTCCGGTGGACCATCCGCATGGCTGGGACAGCAGTAGCAGGTCTCCAATCGAGGCTCACAGCTATCCGCTGGCAGGGAGGGCGTTGTGGCCGCCGAAAGTGTGGCATCCTCATCGTCCTCGAAGCCCTAGAAAGCAAAAATAAATATATTATAATTAATTGAAGTTTAAATTCAAGTTTTAATTCAATTATTTGTGTGATATTAATACAAAATGTTGAAGTAAAATATGAATTGTTGCTTAAAAGTTTGACTTGCGGCAAATTCTATTTGTTTTTATATATAATATATATAATTTTTAAAAATTGTATCAAACTCCTAACGTTTTCTGGTATCTAAAAAGTATTTTCCAGTATTTTTTGCAACTTTAAGGTATTTTGTGTTAAAGGCTAGATGGTATGCTTTTTGTTTTTGATGACTGGACACACTGGCCAGTGGTGTATATAAGGTTGAGCTGGAGCCCAATGAAATCAGTTGCTCACTAGTCCATGAGCAACTCGGTCGTACTCTTTGATTTTATAAGAAATTCATCGACCCTTATTTTCTTTATTTTATTGTGTGAATACTTTTGATCTGTATGTTTGAGCAACGGCGTAAATCTTCCAGCAGATTTCAGATCCTTGTGGTCGTCCTCTAGCTCTGGTTTATTTATTTTAAAAGTCGTGAAAATGCTGAAACAATACGCGCATATTTTTATTATTTTTGATCTGAAGCATATTATTTTATTTTAAACGAAATAAAACTGTGACCTATATTTTTTTGAGCACACGATATATCTCTTCCGGGATGCTTTCGCCCAGACGGTCGTCCTCTTGCGTATTAATTTAATTTCATTTAACGAAAAAAAAAACCTTGACAAAATAGGTAGAGCAGAGGTAGAATAGAGAAAGGGCGATTGGTCTCGAGCATATTAATTTTTGATTTTTTTAATACTTTTGATCTATATTTTGAGCACACGATATATCTCTTCCGGGATGCTTTCGCCCAGACGGTCGTCCTCTTGCATATTAATTTAATTTCATTTAACGAAAAAAAAGCTTGCCAAATTAGAGCAGAGGTAGAATAGAGCATATTAATTTTTGATTTTTTAATACTTTTGATCTATATTTTGAGCACACGATATATCTCTTCCGGGATGCTTTCGCCCAGACGGTCGTCCTCTTGCATATTAATTTAATTTCATTTAACGAAAAAAAAGCTTGACAAAATAGATAGAGCAGAGGTAGAATAGAGAAAGGGCGATTGGTCTCGAGCATATTAATTTTTGATTTTTTTAATACTTTTGATCTATATTTTGAGCACACGATATATCTCTTCCGGGATGCTTTCGCCCAGACGGTCGTCCTCTTGCATATTAATTTTATTTAATTTAACGAAGAAAAAAAACTTGACAACTAAAATAGGTAGAACAGAGGTAGAAGCGGAAATTATGCGATCCTTATTTTCTTTTTCTTTTTTTCTTTATTTTATATTTTTCGAATACTTTTGATCTGTATTTTAGCACACGATATATCTCTTCCAGCATATTCATTTTATGTTTAAACAAAAAATAAATTTGACACTAAAACAGGTAGATAGAGCTGAGGTAAAAGCTAAAGTTATTAATTAAAAAGAAAACAACGCGCATATTATTTTTTACGAAAAATAAGGCAACGGTAGATATCTTTGAGATCCTTAGCAGATTCATTTTTTAAGCAAAAAAGTGAGGTAGGAACTAAAAACGACAAAGTTAAAACAGGACTCACATCCATTGAGAGCGTCATGGATCCCTTGTTGGCCACCATGCTCAGATCCAGATCCATGCCAAAGCTGACGGGGGTTAGGCAGGTGCTGCCACTTCCCTGCTCCTCGCAGACGCTAAGGAAAATGCCGCCAACGGCTCCCTCCTCGCCCGCCTCGAGGCTGTCCTGGTTCATTGGCTCAAAGGAGGCGGGAGCAGTCTCCTCCATAATCTCCATGGTAATGTCCAAGCTGGAGGGGCAATAACCATTAAGAAATTTAAAAAATGTAAGAGGAAACACGGATGCCAACTCACCTGGGCTGCAGCGATTTCATTTCCACATCCTGGAGATACTCATCCGGCTCTTGGGCGGCCAGCAGGAGACACTCTGCTGGAGGCGGTGGTGGTGGTGGCTGCGATTGCCACACTTACAAAGGACCAAGGGCAAGGATCAAGGATGTTCAAGGGTTTTAAGTTATTAGTTTAGCTGTTATTACTTAATTTAGAGGAGGAGTAAAGCTAACAAATTTTAAATCAAAACTAAACAAATTATTTTAAAAATGAAATTACAATATTCTAAAGGAATATACAGAAAGTGACAGAGAATAGAGAGAAAAGTCATCAGAAAGAGATGCAATTAATACAAAACATAATTTATACATTTTTGTTAATTAAAAAAATATTGTTAAATTTAAGACTTCTATAACTTATTTATTCAAATAAAAACGTACTAGTTCGTTGGTTCGATGGTGAACAATTGATCTTAAGAATGAATAACATTTAATAATATATAGCAACCTCTTTAGTTTTGGTTTATCAAATATACAAAATGTGAAATCAAAAATAAAACAGCATTTGCTTTAAATGCTTGGCTTTGTGGCATCCGCTGCAAAATAATATAAACAATGAAAGAACAAAAAAAAAAAAACAAAATGAATAAAAAGACAAGTAAATATAATAAAATATATATATAATATATATATAGAGAAAAATTGGTTAGAAAAAAATATATATATCCACATTTAGGTCAACGTCACAGGTCCGGACTTACGCTTAAATTTCTCCTCTTTCGTTTCCTGGGTTGCCTCAATTCTAGATCCTGACTCACTGCCTCCCTGGCCGAAGGCATCCTTGGCCACCGTTGTCATGGCGATGGAGGACACTGCCGGCATATTGCCAGCAGCCACGGCATTGGCCTCAAAGCCACGCGGCGGTGAACCTGTTGGCGTCTTAAAGATCTGCGCCAGGATCATGTCCTGCAGGAAGCCATCGAGCTTGCGCAGCGACAAAGCATTGTGAAGCGTCTCCAGCGGTCGTATAGGCGGCACATCGCCAAAACCTAAGCATAAAAGGATCGTTATTAGTCAGAAATAGTTAAATATTCTTATTGATTTAAAAAAATTCGTATAGATAAATTAAAATCCAGATGGGAAACAGGCTACAAAGTTATACAATGCAAGGATATACACATATTCCTAAAGATAAAGAAAAAATCCTATAAAAAGGGTTCCCTAAATGTCTGTAATTTTATAACTCCAACATAGGAAATTATAAATAAACTATAAACTAATTAGTAAAGGAATATGTTTATGTTTCTCATTTAATATGAGATATTTTCTAACACACAAAAGATATATTTTGTTATGATTCAAATAATAACTGATATGTAAAGAATATAGTACAAAAAGCGTAAGATTTTATTTCACCAACAAAATTTCCCCAACGTAAAGTCCATACAAAATCCTTTGCTTACATCTAAAGTATAATAATGTATGGTCTATGTAAGATATGTTGTGTATTTACTCACCGGATGATGATACCGGTATCATGTCGCGCAGATTTGGGGCGGACGAGCTGCCGCTGATGACGGCGGTGCTGAAAAGGCTATTCGCACTGGTGGCCATCTTTTGCTAAAACCACCGAAACCCAACATTTTCATATAGGACATCTGGCCGGCAATACTGTGTCTTTGGCGCCGCGACGACGTGGAAGAGTTGGCCGAGGATACCGAGGCCGAAACCGACACCGTAACTTGGCTATCTGTGGCGATGGTATTGGTACAACAAGACGGGGTCGTGGTAGTGGTTGTGTTTGTATTCGTGGTGGTGTTGTTGGTGTTGATGTTATTGGTGGTGGTGGTGGTGTTGTTGTTGATCATGGTGGTTGATGTGTTGATACATGGTTGTTGTTGTTGTTGTTGTTGTTGTTGTGGACCGTTGGTGAGCATTGTTGAGTGTTGTTGATATGGCAGATGTTGATGTTGGTGTTGGTGTTGTGGTGCATCAGTTGATGTGGGACCGATCGAATGGAATTGGTTAGTAAATGGTTGATAAGAAGACATTGTTGCTGTATTATCAAACAAAGCTGCTGCTGCTGTTGTTGTTGTGGTTGTTATTGGTTGTGTTGGCGTTTGTGTGGGTGTAATAGTTGATGTTTCTTTTCTTGTACCTGTTTTTGTTGTTTCTGTGATTGTTGTTGAAACACTTGGCTTTATCATATCTGTGGGTGTAACCGTTTGTGTATTTTCTCCTGTCTCTGTTGCTGTACCTGTTGTCATATCTATTTCTTTAGCTGTTGTTGTAACGTTTTTTGGTATAACTTGTGTATCTATTTTTCTATCGTCCTTAACTTCTTCATTTAATTGTGTCATTGTCGTTGTTGTAGCTGTTGATGTCCCTACTTTCATTTTGTCCATGGAACTGCTTGCTGTCGCTGTCACCAGCACCGTTGGCAAATTGTATACCATTTGTGGCTCTGGCTGGGATCGGCCTTGATCCGTTTCCGGTGTGGGCGTAACTTGCTCTTCGATGGGCTCGAAGCAGTTTACAAAGCAACCGCTGGACGGCGATGTTAAGCTAGCCGGTGAGACGGTAAAGCGAAAGGGATTTTCGGTCAAAACAGGAGCCGAAGCTGGCATGGATAACTGACCACAGGAGCTACTGGTGGCCATGCGTTGACCAGAGGCACTGACACTGCCACTGGCCAAAACTGAAGTCGAAGCCGAAGCCTTATTCATATCGTCACATAAACGCAACGTTGAGGCAGTTGGTGAGGTGGTGGCATGCACCATAGGCGATAGCGTTGCCATTGTTACTGGCCGCTGGCCAAAATGAGAGCTCATCAGAATGGCCGGCGCCGAGCTGGACAATTGAAAGTCATCGTCAAAACTGCTGGCACTTGCCTCCGTGGCCGGTTCACCACTGGCATTCTCTGAATTCTGTCCCCCTTCTGGTGGGGATGAAGTTGAAGTCACAACTTGGCCCAAATCCATCAGACTCTTGGAGTGCGAGTGAGCCTGAGATGCCGTCGAACAGCTGCAATTACAGCTCAGAGGACGCTCATTGGTGGCCAGTGGTGATATTTGTGGCATATGCTGCATATGTTGCTCAAGATCATCACCTTCGTCACAGCTCTCCATGCGACGCATGGTCAGGACATGGAGGCGCTTGTGCGCCGAGGGACCACATTGTGGTGTTGCTGGATTCAAGGAGAAGTCAATGTCCGACAGGGGAAGTTCGTTGGTCGATGAGTCGATCTTGAAAAAGGATAAACTATCCGTGACACGAATCTGAAAGGCAGTCCGATTTCCCAGCGTTACGTGAGCTCCACCCTCCCGTGCATGGGCAATTTCCCCAAAACTAGCACCGCCAGTCACTAAATATTGTCCAAAGTCCAGTTCAAGATAGAAAAAATGGGAGCAGGATTCAATGAAAAGTTAGTTAGAGGCATAACGATATCGATATGAGGAGATTCGAGGATGGTTTCGATTCCGGTCCAAGTCGTTGATATATATTTTCACGTATTTTTTTCGGTGTTTCGGAGTATCGGAGTATTGGATGTTTTTTTTTTTTTGGGTGTTGTAATTGTGTACAAATAGAAAACTCATTAGCCGAGATAATTAAAAAAGATCGAAAATCGCGTAGAGATAGAGTAGAGATTGTAATAAGAGAGAGAGAGTTTCCACATAAAAACAAAAGGACAGAAAACGAAGGAAAAACAAAATTCGTAAATCAAAAAGGGGAAAACATAAGAAGGAAGAAAAATCGGCAAGCCGAATGCAAAAGAAATGCTCTTGAAAAATATATAAAAAAGAATACATAAGTCAAAGTAAATCTGAAGGCAGAATTTAGGTAATTAATTTAAGAAATATTTAAATATTTTCAGACAAAAAAAAAGATGTAAACATACTTGAAATTTGTTTCCTTTCTTGATAGTTTAATTATTCCAATAATTTCGTATTATTTGGAAACATTATAAAGTTTCCAACAAGAGCATTTTGTGGAATTTTCAAAGCTGGCAATCTTGGAAGCAGCAGCGGCAAAGGCTTTTTTAGTAGAGGCTTTCTTTTATTTTATTTGAGTAGAAAACATTATCAAGTTTCAGGCTTCGGAAAAGTAAGTGGGTTTCAAGTCCTTGTTAGGTTCTTGTCTTGGTAGTTCTAGTGTCTTTATAAGTATGTTTCTGGTGTTATTGTGGTTTTGTTTTATGTTGTACGTATAGTTGTTGTCTACCTGTAATGTATGTTTGTGGTGTAGTTGTGGTGTGTTTGTGGTGTATTTGTGGAGTATTTGTGGTGTCGTGTTGGTAGTTCTGTTTGTGGTGTAATTGTGGTGTAGGCTTGTGGTGTATTTGGATGGTTTATAAAGAGGAGAGGAAGGGAATAGTCTGGGTCTGGGTCTGGGTCTGCAAACAACAACAACGAGCAACGTACAGACACAGACAAGGTAACGCCATAAAAACCAAGCTTAGTTCTTGAGTTTTTTTGTTATTAATTGGTTAAAATTTCTTCTTTTTTTTTTGCTTATCATGCATGAGGACAAAAACAGAGATAGATAGACAGGACAGAGAGGGAGATAGACAAACAGGCACATAGAGTGAGAAAGAGAGATAGATAGAGTGACAGGGAAAGGGGATAGAACATAGTGTGGCCATCAGCTGGACCCCAGCAAAGATTCTCTTTAAATTTCTAGATTTCTCTTGCCCAAAACCTTTCTCCAAAAGAAGGGTAAATGAGTTTTCCAAATCTTTCCTGGGGCTCAGCTGTCTCTGTTTTTTTTTCTTTTTTTGTGGTTGCATGTTTAGGGGCGTGGCAGGTGTGGACTGTGTGTGTGTGTGAGTTTTCTTTCATGGCGGAGACAGTGTGACCAGCATTGCCAAGTACACGGGATTCCGCGGCCAGATGCTTATAGATTTTCAGTTTTTCTTTTGTTTTTTTCATTTTCAATATATAGATCGAGATATACACGCAGCGAAAGAGACAGTTTGTGGTGTGTTGTGGTGTTTTTCTGTGTGTTTGTTTCTGTGTGCGTCTCATCGATCGTTTCGCAATAGAAAAATTAGAAAACCAAAAACAACAAAAATGTTGGGCACAACTCGAGATAACAGGATACAGAGATGGAAAGTCTTTTTAGTTTTTGATGAAAAATCACAACTGAACAATATTCGTTTACCATTCGAAACAGAGAGATAGATAGCTAAAGGATATATATTATCTAAATTTATATATATATATATTATATATTGATAAAAAAGATTCAAAATATATTCATTGAGGGGTCAGGGTGACGACAGGAAAAAAACAAAACAAAAGCAATGTTCTGAAATGGGTGACAGGGCTTATTTAGGTTCTTATTTCCTTAGGGGATTTCCTTTCCCTTTTTTTTTTTTAATTCTTTTCTAGTTTCCTTATTTGTTGTCAGTTAGTTTTGATTATAGACCCCTTTTTGGTGTTATTAGCTGGCAGTGAGTGCGGGTTTTGGGGGATAAACCGTGAGACGCAAACACAGAAAACAATAGGAACATCATGCAATAATAAAATCCCACAAAAAATAATTATAGATATTTAAAAGAAATTATAGAAAGATGATAAAGTTATGCACAATTTTCAAACAGATGAAGAACAGGGAACTTCGGCAATAACCGAAGAAAGCATTTGACTTGGCAGGAAACTTGAAGCAGAATTCTTTTTTTCTTTTTGCTTTTCTTTAAAGTTTTGCTTTAAATATTTATCAGATTTATATTAAAGTATATTTTTATAAATAATATTTAGTTGTAAAACTTTTGGAAGTGCAGATATTTGGTTTATAATATGATTTTGTAGAAATTTGTTAAGTTAGGGTTTTCTAAATGTAAATTATACATCTTAGGAGTTTTGGTAACTTAAATTCATATTTAACATTATCAATTTAATTGGTTTTGATATTCTTGATAAATACATATTTAAAACTTAGTTTTAAATATAATTTAAAGTTTTAACAATTCTTTAAAAGCTATAAACTCTTCTTTTACAAATAATAATGCGTTTGGAAATACTTTATATACAGAGACTACCTTTGAATTAAAGGGACATCTCTCTACCTTCACCTAAATCTACATTATATCCTGCCAAGTTATATCAGAAACCAGTTCTAGTTGGGGTTTAGCCAATTGAAAGGGTGTTTAGATGTGTGTGTTAGACAAGAACGCGAAACGCCGGGAGTTGGAAGTTGATCTTGGGAAAACAGGAGAAGGTTGCTTGGTTTTTCGGGTGAAAGAGTGATCCTTTTTGGGGAAAAGCCTGCAGCTGCGGCGGCTTCAATGGCAGCGGCGGCGGGCAAGCTTTACTCGATCAAAGGTGGGGTATGTGCCCCCAACCCCACACACAAAAAATAATAATAAACACACGTATACGTACCCGGCATCTTGGCACAAACTCCCGGCGATGGTCGCTGCTCAAAACTCCGGGATCTTGGCTCACAATCGGGACTAACTGCCCGCATATCCGGACTAATGGGTCTCAGTTGCTGCTGGTTATATTGTTCTCCCTGTTGCTGCTGATGCTGCTGCATGTGGTGTTGCTGCTGCTGCTGCGATGCCAGCTCCTCATTGAGCCGCTTGGCCAAATCCATGGCCTCATGACCACTGACCGTGTGATGGGCGCCAATGGGTATGGGCTTGGATTTAAACTGCTTGGAACGTAGCTCTAAACGATTGAAACCGAAGGCAGGCGAGGCACGATCTGAGCTGCCAGTCTGCGAAAGATTCACAACCTTAATTATCTCTGAGATACAATATAAACTCCTCCAACTCACCGAACGTTTCTTGCCATTCTGCTCTTCGCCCGAGTTGGAGTCATTCTCCTCCTCAATCCGAGCAGGATTTGATTCCTCCGATGACTTCAGACTCACATTGCTGGCATTATCACCATGGGAGTGAGGCCGAAAGCCGGGACCCGGTGGCAGATTCTTTTGAACGCAACAGTTGACGCCGGGACTAAAGTGCAGCTCAACATGGAAACGCTCTTCGGATGTGGGATCCTTGGTGGGATCCTCATACAGCATGATGACAATCTGCGACATGTAATTCAACTCCGTTACCATGGAAATATAATCCATAGCTCGACGCCATTGCTCATCGGTGACAACATTCAGAAGCTCACCATACCGAAGGACCGTGAGCAGCGAATGGACATGCGATTCGCTGGTAAAGTACAAACGCGTACGGACATGCCGCTGAGGACTGGCAACGCCATGACTATAATGCGGATTCAGGCGATTCATAAACTCATCCTCCACCTCGTCAATGTTGTGCTGCAAATCACCCTTGATTTTGCGAAGCAACGGCGAACAAATGCCCTGACCAATGGCCAGTTTCTCCTGCGGCGTCAGGCCATATTCCTGCGGTATCACTATATCCGCCAGATTCTTGGCATAAATATACAACTCTTCGGCCTGATCGTATTGCAGCGTATGCTGATTATGCTGCAAATCATACTTGATGCAATCGTAGATATCAGGTATCTTGGAGATATCGAAAAGCTTTGATTTGGTACTGAAATCCTTCTCAATCTTCTCCCAGCGACAGCGCATAAGGTCCCAGGTCTCACCATGGTACAAAATAGCATCCTTGGTCTTGGGATCGTCTTTTTTGATGCTGATTATATGGAGCAATTCGCGAATGAGCAGCAGAACATGGTGACAGCAGTCCACTGGATTTTTGACAAAGTCCAGAGCCTGAGTAATGGATTTACTATTGCAGGGATTGATAAGCTCACGATCCACCTTGGTGAACTCCCGATCATTCTGCATGAGCTCATGGAGGCGACCCTTGGCCCTGAAAAGAGGATTACATTGATTTTCATATCAATAAATCCATATTTTGTTGCAAATTTATAACTTACAGATTCTGATACTTGCTGGAATCACAGTCATTGTCCAGCAATCCATTGGTATTGGCGCTCTTCACCATTTGGACTAGAATGGGCGTCAGCTCACCCTCCAGAGCCAACAGACCCTTGGCAAAAGCAGCGGCAGTCATTTGTACACGACCCTCGTCCGAGGCATAAATCTTCAGATCGTGACGGAATGTTGAATGTAACCTAGAAGAGAGTCAAGTGAAGGATTAACTCAAATATTCATCATCCAAAAAATAAAGTAAACTCACCTCAGCAGCCCCAATCCCTGAGTGCCCGAATAGTCTGCCCTTCCCTGCCCCCTGGATACATACACCGAAAGATGCGACCCAACTCCTCCGCTTGGATGCGACCCGCCGGCGTCAATTCGCCGCCCCACTTGAGGATGAGGACCAGCGATGGCTCCGCCGGCTGATCCGCTGCTAGATTGGCTTCACATTGGTTAGTACTCATCCCTGGCGAATGCTTCCTGTACTTACTGTCATCGGAACTGGAGCCGCGAGGACGTCCCTTGGGCTGATACTTCATCTGCACTTTGCGATTAATGCCCGAAAAGTGACCATACATCTCCAGGACGTTCTTAAGCTGCTCCAGTTTGCTCTCCTTCTCCTCGATTTCGGCATGAGCCTTGGTATGAATCTCGCTGAGCAGAAAACGAGCTATATCCAAGATCTCCTGCAGCTGCTTGGGTCGCTTGAGCTTCACGTGACCCAGTTTGTAGCCATTGTACTTGGCAAAGATCTCAAAGAATCTAGGAAAAGAGAGGTTTACACATAAATCAACTTGATGCTGGAAAGGATTACCGATTTTGCATTACTCACTTGGGATGCCGCACCTCCACCTTCATCTTCTGCTTGGGCGTTCGATCACCATGCCGAATCACAGCCACCACACAGCGCAGTTCCATCATTTTGCCAAAAGTGGTGGGCACAATGGGTGGATCGTCCAGTTGAAAGGGCACGGACCAGGGGATGTGCAGCGTGGGCGTTAGCTCGCGTAGAATCATATTGCCCAAGATCTTGGCACAGTCATCGTAATATTTATTCGAATTCTTCACGAAACTAAACCCATTCACATCGCAGACATAGCTCTTGCCATTGGCTCGCAGCAGATCGAAACCGCAAACGGTTTGCTTAAAGGCCAGACACACCTTTCGGGAGATGAGCTTCTCGGAGTGATTAAGGATGACCGGATAGCGAATCTCTTTGCCCTCGCTATCGCGCTCCACTTTGCCATCGAGCGCTGGACTCTTGCGGGCCTCCGCATGGGCATAGTCCGGACCGACGGTGTAGACCTTGACGTCGGTGCCTGAAAAGTATACTAAGTTGTAAAGGTGATGCTGGATTCAGTGCGTTCGACTGGCGGCCACTGGTGTGTATCGGTTGGGGGTTTTTCTTTTTTTCTTTTATATTCATATTTGAATTTTTTTTTTTTTTTACAATTTAATTGCAGTGAACTTGGCGATGAGCGGCGCGTGCGGAGCGAGACGCAGGACAAGGCACAATGAGCGATGCTTCGTTTGCAGGATTAGAGCAAGAGAAAGTATAAGCTACAAGATGCATAGCTCTCTCTTTGGGATCTCTTGAAATTGTACAGAGATTCAGAGAGAAAGATAGGGAGAGACTGGAGAGAGTATAAGCTACAAATGCTTTCTCTGCGCTTTCTCTAAGAGAGAAATTTGCTTACTAATGTTATGCATCTTAAACCTTATACGATCTTTGTTTAAAGTGAGTCTTAAAAGAGTTTCGTGTTTCGTGTTTCGTGTTTCGAGTTCGAGCCAAAGCCATAACAACAACAGACAGCCAGAGCGAGTATTGGATATGGTAAACCGGATATGGAAAGGATAAAGGATAAGGTATATATATATATATACATATATATAGAATAATATATAGGATACATTGGATATGTATTGGAACAGCTGCATGTGGAGCAAGGGGTTCAAAGAGAGCAAGTTGCATACCATCGGTGGGCATAAAATCCTCATAGATGAATGAGCCCGTCTTTCGCACCCTCGATTCCGGTGAATAAACGCTGCTCCGGCTGCCAATTTTACGGAATAACCGCTGGCTACCGCCACCCGCCGATGTTGGATAATATATATAGATGTTGTGATCCTCCGCCGATACAGGTTTCTCCACAAATGGCTTGTTAAAGGTGATGCCATTCACCTCCACATGATCCTCGGATTCAATGAGCTCGTGATCTAAGCGGAAAGAAGAGTATATAGTATTTACCAGATTGTTGGAATGTATTCGAAATCTACTCACGCTTTGGGTCCGGTGAATCCCGATCGAGAACGGCATAGCGCGGTATCTCGATGCCCTCCTTCTCCAGAATGGCATAGACCCGCCTGCGGTCCTGGATATCGTACTGCATATGCAGGTTGTTCAGCACAAAGGGATTCCGCAGCTGGGCATACTCGATGGCCTTCTCCAGCGGGAATCCCTTCGAGTGGAACGAGACCAGGCAGTCGCAGGTGGGCCAATTCTGGACGGGCTCTCGCAATATCACATTCTCCTCGAATGTCACCAGTTTGATAAACTCAAACTCTCCCAAACGTGTCAATATCTCCTTCATTGGCTTTGATTGTGTCTTCTTGGCCATTGCACAGATGCCAACGACCACCTGTTTGCTATTGCTGGACGAGGTGCTCGTATCGGAGTCCATGCCGTCATTGCTGTCCCCGAAATCGGTGTCGCCCTTTAAGAAATATGAGAAAAGTGGATTATGAATATAATTCGATTTCTTGGTTAACTCTGGCGGTATCTTTAGCATTCTGAAAGGGACCGAGAACAAGGCTTTTTCGAAGGCAGGCAGACAGGCAGTCAGTCAAGGCAATGTTATCCTTCTCCGATCTTTTCTTTGTATTCTTTAATTGTATCAGAAATGTCACAGTGAACTCAGGTGCGTGTATTTGTTCCCTTGGAATAAATGATATGGGAAACTAAGTCAAGCAATTAGTGATTGCCCTGGCCACTCATTGGCTTTGGGATTAAGTCAGTCAATCAATCAAGCAATAAGTTAAGCAAACAGCCGATCAATCAATCATTCAATCCACCCATCAATCAATTGTTTCAACTAACCAAAGAGACCTACATTCAAACAGACATCGCAGAAGCAAAAATCATCGCTATCCTCATCGCTGCCATGCATAGGTCCATAATCCTCATAATCGCTGACATTGAAGGGTCCATATTCCCCATCATCATCATCATCATCATCATCCTGATTTCTCAGGGGATTCCCATTATCCGCCTGTCCATGAACTCCTGCACTTTGACTCCTCCGCTGGCGTTGCAGCAAACGATTCCTGCGCAAACGATCACGATCCCGGGCACGACCACGACGTCGTCGATTTATGCCACCATCCAAACTGTGCCGCCGTTGCGTGCGCTGAGCATCCTGTCCAGCATCACTACCATCTGGGGTCTGATGATGATGCTCCGAGTCTGGCGGCACAATGGTGACAGCAGTCACCGCCGCCGCTTCAGCTGCTGCAGCGGCTGCCGCCTCCAGTTTCTTCTTGTGCCGCTGATGGCGAGACCGAAGCTTCTTGAGACGCCACCAATCCTTGAACCAGGTCCACTCCATATTGTGTTGCCAACTCAGCTGGTTTTAAGCTGATATTTTCAAGATATTAAGGGATAGTTTTTAAGGATTTTATCCAGTTTTTAAAGTGTATTTTTAAAAAGTTTTTTAGAGCTTTGCTAAGGAGGAGTTTTGAGGATCTTTCAAAAATTTTCAAAGGGTATTTTTAAGAATTTTTTAAATGCTTCTTAAAGGTTATTATAAAGTATTTTATGGAGTTTTTAAAAGAGAATTTGAAGTGTTTTTTTTACTGCTTTTAAAAGGCTGTTTCCCAAAACTTATTAAAAAATATTTAGAGTTCTCTAAAGGTTATATTCAATCTATTTTCTTTAACTTTGTAAATTCTTTCTTTTGGTACTTTAAATTTATTACATTTACGTTACTTTTTTTCGTTTAAAAATATATCTAAATAATTTCTACATGAAATATATGTATACCCCTGCAGTGTATTCTAATTTTAGTCAGAAGCGTAAAACTACGTGAAGGAGTCATTTGCGACCCTATAAATCATATATATTCTTGATCAGCATTAACAGCCGAGTCGATCTAGCTATCTCAGCCAAAAAATAGATTTTTTAAATTTTTTTGTCAAAATTTTATCATTGAAATATATCTTAAAATTTTTAAAAATTGATCAAAATTTCAAATTTGTTTAAATTTTAAATTGAGTATGCAGATTTATTAACCTTACAAATACTAGCACAAAACAGCTTTCCGATTGAAAATTAATTCATTTTTGACTAAGTTATGAGTTTTTGATACTTTGATATCTCTAAAAAATTGTCATATATAAATATATACTCAAAAATGGTAATTTAAATTTAGTCAGGAGTTTGTTACACTGTGAAGGAGTCATTTCCGACCCCATAAATCATATATATTCTTGATCAGCATTAACAGCCGATTCAATCTAGCTATCTCAGGCAAAAAAAAAAAAATTTATTTTTTTTGTCAAAATTTTATAATTAAAATGTATCTTAAAATTTTTAGAAATTGATCAAAATTTGAAATTTGTTTATATTTTAAATTAAGTATGCAGATTTATTAACCAAATAACAACTAGCATAGAACCGCTTTCCGATTGAAAATTAATACATTTTTGACTAAGTTATGATATATTTTCACTGCAAGGGTATAGAGTATTCGGTTTCCGAAGTTTCTTTATTTCTAATGAAAATACTCTTTCATTTTCTTTAAGAAACACTCTTATTTTCATACAGATTTCAGCTCGCAAAATGCCAAAGTAATTATTTATACAACTTCTTTAATTATAATGTTTGTTTTAATTTTTTGTGTAAATATTTGTGAAAATTTAAATTGTTTTTTTTTGTTGGCAACACACAGCTAGAGAAACACGTATGTTACATACGTGCCGGTGTCTCGAATTACCCCAAAAAAAAAAAAAGCAGATGATCTAAACCGAGAAATCGCGTAAGTAAGACCCGGGAAGAAATATATCTCAAGAGCAAAAACCGAGCAACTCCGAGCTCCGAGCAACGCGTCCAAACTGAATCCGACTAACGGAACTCAACGCAACTTAAGTCAAGTGAACTGAACAGATCGAAATGATATAGAACGCGGGATCGAATCGGATTGAAACGGATCGGTGTTCAGGGCGCGCACGCCAATTGGTCTGCGCCCACTCGCAATGTCAGAGTGGAGAATCTCTCTCTCTCTCTCTCTCTCTGATGAGCTGGAGACAAAAGCTTCTGGGAGAGGAGAAGACAGAGGCGGAAGAAGAGAAGCAGAGAAGCTGCTGTCCACACAAAGAGAAAAAAAAGATAAGGGGGAGAAGCACTTGGAGAAAATGAGACAAGTTCTAAAGCTTATTTGTTACAACATTTTATAGAGATAAATTATTAATAGCTTTGATTGTTGCAACTTTTAGTAACAAAAAATATAACTGTTAAAAAATAATGAATACTTTTCTTTTGGTGGAAAGAAGCTTTAAATAAAATAAGAGAATATTTAAAGAAATAAAAATAAAAATCTATCTTTAAATAGCTCTATTGAAAAACATATGTTTAAAACCATTTCAAAATTATCTATTACTATTCAAAAATATGAATACTTTTCTTATGGTGGAAAGTTTAAAAGTTTTAAATAAAATAAGTAAATATTTAAAGAAATAAAAAGAAATATCTATCTTTAAACAGCTCTATTGAAAAACATATTTTTAAAACCATTTCAAAATGATCTAGACTCTAGATCGAAAGATTTTTAAATTCAATTCAATTTAATTATATAATAACTTGATGAATTTTCATTTCCAAAATTCTAGAACCCATCTATATCTTTTTTTTCAGTGCATTTCAGAGGGGGAGAGAGAGAGTAGCGCTTATAGAACGCTCTCTTTGTGTAATTGTTTCGACATACTGAAGGCGTCTCTTGTTATCTTGGTTGCTTTCATTTGTTGACGACACGACTTAACTACAACTTATATAGCGTACACGTCCGGCTGCCGATCGCAGCAAAAACAACAACAAATAAAACACCTAAAATAAAAGTAAGACAAAAAAACAAAGAGCAACTGAGTAGCGAAATAAACCCGATAAGAATTCCCCTTGCCAATAGCCATGATAAGAGCCAGCGATCTGTTAGAAAAAACCCAACCAAGCGACCAATTGGACAGGTAAATAATTGCTCTCTATATATAGATACACCGATTCGGATAGAGATACTTCGGATTTAACAAGCGTCGTACCATTTAGCACCTGTACAATCTCTCGATCTCTCTTCCCTGTGTTCATCTTTGAAGGTGCAAATCAGACAGCTGAACAACTGAATCACGATTCGTAGATACAAAGATACAAAGATATAGAAACAGGTGTAATAAAAACCCTAGAGGCAGGCAACTCACAAAAAGAACTGAGAACTTTAAGCACTTTAAGAACTAAACTTTTAAATATTAAATAATATTCAATCACTTTTGAATTGTCTTGTCTTCACTTACATACTTAGCCTTCTTCTTGAATATGTATTTATACAAATTACACCTTATGATTTGACTTAAACCCATTTTAATTGAATTATTTTCAACAGATATGTAATTAATTATTAAAAAGCAAGAATATTAAATCCAAGCTTAACTGCAATCCACGAAAGACCGTCTTAAACTGAACTACTCATAAATTCGAAGAGCAATAATTATGGCTTGATTAGCTATATCCTATACCTAACTATATACATTTATCCCTGGAATTACTACGAACACCGGTTCAATTTTCACAGGAAAATGTGCTATAAATTAAATAATCAATCTAAGCCATGATTTAGCTCCCTTCTAAGTACACAAGTAGTGCCAAGGCATTACATTGCACCAAAGTCTCTCTACATATGTGGCTTAAGTTTAGATATATGTAAAAGCTTTTTAATTACAAAATATATATGTATATTTAAATATATTTAATTACGTATTTAATTTGAGCAACTGCACATTGAAACATATGTATATTTTTACACCTTTATTCGCACAGTTCATTAACTTCTTAAGCTTTCAAATGCCCCTAAAAGTATATGCCTTGCGATAAATACACCACAAAATTGCCTCAATAAAATATGCTATACATAAATTAAATTTAAAATCATTAAAATGCTTCACTTTAATCAACATTTTAATTTTCACTGAGAAAGCAGAGCTTACCAAAAAAAAAATAATAATAAATAAAAACGAGGAACCGCACTGCTTGAAAGTCGGAGAAGAACTGCAGAGTCTGGAAGATATAAAGATATATCCCCCGAATATACCCCCTGAATCAGGCAAACAAAAGACACGGGCAAAACAAACAAATTAAACAAATAACTGGGTAACTCTCGGTAATTAATTAATGCAGCCAAGGAGCCCAACAAAAAAACGAAGCCGAAAACGCAAAAAATTTAATTAAAATTTAGCACGCGCCAAATTGAGCAAACAAATCCAAACGTAACGGAAACAATGCCAGAAAATAAAGAAAATTCGAGTTAATAACGTTAAAAAAAAACAACTAATATATAGTATATAATAAATAAACAAATGTAAAAAAAATAAAAGATTCACCGGATGGGAAAACGACGAGGAGCGCGGCTCCAGCAATTCGGTGACGTCAGTTTCGGTCTCTGGATATTTGGATATCGGGGGGGATATCGGGTTCACATATTTGCAATTTGCGGGGGCGGTAAAAATAGAAAGCAGCAGGGGTTTTGGGGGCGGAGGCGGAGAAAGAAAATAACAGATTACAGATATAAGATATAAGGATACAACAACAGTCGTGGGCAGTGGTTGAGCTGCACCCACGCACGCACAGGAATAGAATAAAAGGCAGCTTGTACACTGAAAACAACTACGCCTAGTTTCTTTTAAGTTAACAAAATAAATATCAAATATTTATTTTTAAGCCATTTTAAGAGATTTTTTAGAAAAATAACTAGTATGAAAGCTACCTTCGTAAAGCAGAAATTCATATACTCTTTAAATTGAATTATTCATACAGAAATTTGATCATAACCAAGCCAAAAAACCATTAATTTTGACTTGGAAAACGGTTATGTGTTAGTTTTTAATAGTTTAATAAATCTGCATACTAAGTTTACAAATTTTTTAATGTTCAAATTTTTCCAAATTTTTAAAAATTTTAACCAGGTAATTCCTTACAAAATTTTGAAAAAAATATAAGAAAAAAATATTCTCTGAAATATGGTTAGAGCGACTCGGATTTTAATGCTGATCAAAAATATATATAATTTATAGGGTCGGAAATGATTCCTTCACTTAGTTTTCAGTTTCCGACTTAAATTAATAACATTTTTTAATCGATATTAACTATATTTTTTTATAAAATTTTTTCAAAAAAATTAATTTTAAAAAACTCATAACTAAACCAAAAATCCGTTAATTTTAATTCGGAAAACTTTCCTATGTTAGTTTTTAATAGGTTAATAAATCTGCATACTCAATTTAAAATTTTGTAAAATTACGATTTTTTTAAATTTTTTTGTTGAGAATTTTAACGATGTAACCCCTTAAATATTTTGAAAAATTATTTTTCTGCCGGATATAGCTAAAAATATTCGCCTGTTGATGCTGATCAAGAATATATATAATTTATAGGGTCGGAAACGATTCCTTCACTATATTTAAAGCTTCCGACTAAAATTAAAACACCCCAAAAGGGTATAAAAAACCTTACTTTTTAGACAAGTCTTTAAAAGCAAAACAAACCTATTTGATAATATAAAAAACTTGATAATAAATCAAAATCAAAAAATATTTTTCTAAAAATTTCAATTAGCAACTGGTCTATTATTTTTTCAAGTGTATAAAAAAGGACACGCACCGCCCAGATTCGGCGTTGAGTTTACGTGCGTCAGCCAGCGGCGTCCTGCCGCTGCCCTCTGCAGCTCCGACGCCGACTGCGCTGCCCCGGCTGGGTGCACTGCAGCCGCTGATGATGATGCTGTTGCTGCTGCTACGCTCGCCTCTGCTGCTACCGGCTGACAGCGACGTCGGCTCCAGCCGCGAAGTCTTGCACTGCTGCTGCTGCTGTTACTCTTGTTGTTGTTGTTGTTGTTGTTGTGGTGACCCCCACCTCTGCCGCGCCCCCCAGCGGCAACACCACCCACGCCGCCACCGAACTTATCAAAGCTATTGCCCATTTGTTGAACTGCTTTTAGTGAGAGAGGGATGCGTATATAAATTATGCTCAAGCCAAAAAAGGCCGCGCAAGTGAGAGAGAGTCAGAGAGACAGAGAGGAGAGAGAGAGCAAAAGCTTTTGGCATTGACATTGACCAGTTGTCAGCTGTTTGCAAGTGGAACAAGAAGAAGTACAAGAAGAGGGGGAGAGAGAAGCTGCACTGCCGCTGCAGAAAGTCCCGCAAAAAGTCAGGGTCACATGCACAAGTCCACAGCTGAGGTCACAATAATAGCACTGGGAAATATGGCCTATATTATAATATACTATGATATATGTATATACCAAATTTAAGTAAATAAGAATTTTAAGAATTTGAATAACTGAACTTAAAAGGTTCCTCCACTGGCCCTAATACTGTGACCTCAGTTGTAGACCCGCACACGTAGGTCGGTCATCGATAAACGTTAACGGCATTTGGTTAGTTATAGGGTTAGACTACAAGTGTTAAAAATTATAATTAATAAAGCGCATAGCATACGTTGCCATCTTGACCCAAATAGAAGCCGACGCGTTGCTGCTGCTGTCCCGCTGCCGAAGTCGCCGCTGATGCTGACTGCGACTGCGAGTGATGAAAGCTGTGTAGTTGTTGCTGCTGCTGATGTTGTTGTTGTTGCTGCGATGCAGCAGCGCTGCCCTGAGCAGCCGATTGACGCAGATCCTGATATCCCGACTCCAATTCGGTATAAGACATATTATTCCTGTTATTTCTTTTAGTGTGTGGGTTAATGTCAAACGAACAAAACAGAAAAAAAAAAACAAAACAATTCACTTGCGAGTATTTGTTATTTTTGTTTTCGCTTTTACATAGCCGTCACACGCACACAATCAAGCCTCACCGCGTGTTGGCAGAATTACGTATATGTGTGCGTGCGTGTGTTTTCGTATATTTTTAATAACAATTTTTGCGCCTCTCTTGTTTTTCACTTTCTCTTCACCGTTTGTCCTTCGATTTAGCTTCTTCTTGCTGTTTGCCTTGTTATTGAACGAAAAGTTACGAAAGATTCTCTGCTGGTTGCGTTTGCTTTTATTATTTGCATTAATTCAGTTATTATATGTAACTTCACTGTATGTATGTGTATGTGTGTGTACCGGTGGCGGGAGCGAAGCGTTGTTGCGAGGTAAAAATTAGGACGCGTTGCAGGGAAGTGAGTTATTCAATTATTTGATTAAACTGTTATTAACTAGGCATTGCTCGCTATTCTCTCTCTCAGTTTTTGCATTTTAATATTGTTTTTCTTTTCCGATATTGTTGTTTTTCACGTTTTTAACTCTTAACACGCACACCGTCCGTTCCGTTTCGTTTTTTGCGAATGCGCCGCAGCTTTTTCTACCGCAAAAACTAAGGAGCTTTCAGCTGCTCTGAAAGCGTTTTGGTGGGAAAAAACAGCTGACTGATTCTCTTTTTGTTTTTTTTTTTTATTTTAATGTGGCCAAACTGTAACGAAAATTTAAAAATTAAAAAAAAATTAATTACAATTTTAAAAGGGAAAAGATGGAGTAGATGTAAATACAAAATCAATCTTACATGTGCATTTTTTTTAAATTTCTGACAAGATTTAGTATTTCAATATGGAAAAAACAATAAAATAAAACTTTTTCTTAAATAAAACACCATAAATATATAAAAAGAAAATGGAATAATGAAAAAAATATATCAAATCCTTTTTATAACTCACTACGGATTTAGTCTTCAAATAATACAAAGTAACATTAATAAAAAATAATCAAAATACAACAATAAATATTAAAAAAAAATAAAACAAATCAATAATTAATTCACCGAAAGCAATTTGAATTCATTTTTACACTTACGTCTCAAATAATTCCCAACGGACTTAGCCTTTAAATAATGTAATAAGTAACATTGATGATATAAAAATACAATAAAAAATTTACAAATAAATAAACAAAAAAAACCAAGCAAATCAAAGAAAGCTCAAATTGATTGTAATAATAATAATAATACAAATAATAATCTTATTATTATTATTTAGATCTATTTCAATTATTATTTACCAGCACTAATCTTATATTTCAATGAATTATATAATTCGTTTTCCAAAAAAAATCTATAAAATAAGTTACCCTTCAGAAAATATAAACTGTTTATTGGATTATCATATAACCTTATAAATTTATTAACTTTTTTTCAAAATATGTGAAAATACTTCTTATTTTTAATTCTAAAATTTAGATTCCTTGTCCTATAACTTGACTTGATCTATAAAAGCAAGGTGTTGATATAAAATGTATAGTAAAGGACGGACACCGTTGAAAAGCATTATCCCTATAAGGCCAAAAGTCTTTCCTTAAATATAACCTCTCTTTTTTTTAGTTTCCTTAAATTTCCTTTTTTTCTAGGCTTGTAAACCTCATTAAAGCCGTAACCTACTTAGTAATTTCGATCAACGACGTTTGGGGCTCAATGCGAGGAGCTTCTTTCGCTTGCGGTCCCGGGAGATAATCTCCATGCGCTCCTTGGTGCTCGTCTGGAAAAAGATTAGATGCAGAGTGCGGCTGGCGGAGTAAAGCTACAAAAATATAAAAATATTTCAAATTAATCAATAAGTAAATAACATAGGGACACTTACCTGCTGCAGAAGTCGCGCCTTAAGGCGCAAATTACCGGGCTCCTCCGCCTCCACATCCTTGCCACGAGTCTCCAGGTGCAGATTCAACACAAAGATCAATGTATCCCGGATGGTTTGCACAATCCGCTGGACTTGTTCCGTTTTAAAGAGACGACGCAGCAGGAAACCCCTCACGGCGGCATTTATTCGCGTGGCTGCCCACTCGCGTTCCTCCTGGTCTAGATCCAGCTCTAGATTTTGTACGTGTTCCTGTGGAATTTCCGGTTTCTGAACGAAGAATTTGGAATGAATGTGAAAATTAATTCGAAATGTTTTGTTTGTACAGCCGGGTTGTTTTTTGTTTTTTTATGTTAGTAGTTAAAAATTGGTCCCAGGTTTAAGGCACATCGGTTAGGGCTTCTTGCGCTGCTTGCGTTTAGGAGGAAGTGGAAACAATTGATAGAGTACAGGAGATACAAAGATATATCGAATTTCACCAAAAACATAAATAATTTTGATATAAGTATAATAAACAACATTTGATTAATTTAAATAGGAATAAACTTAATTTTATGTGAAAGTCGATAAGATTGTTAGTTAAAACTAAGAATATCTACGTTTTTATGATACACAAACTCACATTTTTATGACTACTCGCTTTGGGCAGGCGGAGTGACGACTCTCCCTGAAGGTTCTTCTTTGGGCTGACTACAGCAGTGACATTCTTTCTACGACCCGAACCAGCACCAGCTGCAGAAGCATTAGATGCTCCCGTTCCTGGTCTCGACGTTGGCAATGACTTTGTAGGACTGGACACCTTCGGTTGGATGCGTCGTCCTGGCGCTGTTTTCTTGGTAACGCCACCAGCACCAGCTGCTCCTGTTGCCTGTCGCCTGCTATTGGTAAGACTGCTATTTCTCAGCGGTAATAAACGTGGCGTGCTTGACGCGGTACTGCTATCGCCCAGAAGTTGCGGCTCCGACTCATAGCCGAGAGACGGTGTTGGGTGCGGGCTAAAGAGGCACTTGCGCGCCGCAGAAGTTGGAGGAGCGATGTCCGCTGCAAGGAATCCATCAAGTTCGGGGCAGTTGCGTGGCGAGGTTATGCTTAGTGTGATGGTGCGGCTGGTCGAACATGTTGTGGCGGACGAGTTAGTGCTGCTGTTGCTGTTACTGCTACTGTCGCTAAGCCTGCTGTTGCTCCTGTCCGGATTCTCCAGCTGGGCGCACAGCTGCTCGATGAGCTGGCGCTGCTGCTCCTCGAAGGCGGCCTGCATGCGACGACGCTCTCCCTCCTGGTACTCCATCAGACGATCCATGGGCTCACGATGGCCGCGCAAATATTGACGGACCCAGCCACGCCTTCTGGCCTCCACCAGGCCGTATTTGTTCATTACCAGCTCAATCATTCGCTCGATTTCACGCTCGCGCTCTTGATCCTTTCGGCTGCTCAGGGAAGTGCTAGTGTTGGGATTGGGCGGACTAGGCTGGCGCACCACACGCTTGGCCTGTGACTCGATGGTCTCGCGCTGGAAATTGGGACTGTAGCCTTGCCTTCGCATATTCTCCACCAGCGCAGGCGATGGCTGCTCCAGCGTGAAGCTCCTGGAGCGTTGCAATGCCACTGGCTCCTGCACTGGCGGCGGTAGCTTAACCGTGTTCTTTGCTACTGGCTTTCCCTGCGGGCTGAGATGTGGCTCGGCCAGCGCTGGACTAGTGCTGGAGCGTAGGATTTGTCCTATATGGCCACCGATGCCGCTCTGCTCGAACTGCTGTATCCGCTCTGTGATCTTGTTTGGCTGCAGGCGGCGCTCCGGCGACAGAGGCAACGTTGGCGTTTGAGTCTGCATCAGCGGCGTTGGTGGGTTTACCTGAATGGTGGGCACATCGAAGCCCAGAGTTTGTGGTCGTCCCCGGTGCTGCTGCTGCTGCTGTTGACCCTGCCTGGTGCTGTCATAGATGTAGGTCTGCGTCTGAGACAGACCGCTTCGCGGGCTGGCCATGCTGTGACTGCCTTGACTGGTACGACTGCTACGACTGCCTTGACTGCTACGACTTCGCTGCTCCTCCAGCTGCTTGGCCCGCTGACGTGCCAGTTGTGCCTCCCGCTTCTTGGCGCTCGTCATCTGTGAACAAAAAAAAAAAAAGGAAAATTCATTGCATTTACGCTTCACTGCCATCGGCACTCCCTCTTCCTTACCAGCGGCGGCAGAATCACCTGCCCGTCCAGGCGGAACAGCGAGGTCTGACCCAAATCGGGGCGGACGCTGTTACTAGTGGTGTTGCTGCTCTGCCAGATGTCTCCAGCCTCGCCCTGCATCGTCATCGTCAACGACAGCAGCTCCGACATCGCTGGACTGTGCGGTTCGAAATGTAGAAAACAATTGTGAGTTGAGAAGAAAACCAATAAGAAGACAGAGCGGAATATTTACTCACCACGTTGTCTCCATCGCTGGGATCGTATGGCTGTTTTGTGTCTATATATCGGTATGTGTTGTGTGTGTAGGAAAACAAAACTGAAACTAAAATCTACTCAAACATAAAAAGGGACTTTTAAATGTTGTTTGCAATTTTTTTCCTATGTTTCTGTTGCCATTAGAGATGAGAGCGCTAGCGATGGCAAGCCAACCATGGCCAGCCGTTAGATTTGGCGCCAATATTTAGGAGTCTGCAAAGAGGAGGTATAAACAAAATAACACAAATAAAAATGGACAAAAATATGTAACTACTTAATGTAAGTGTCTCGCAGCGTTTTCTTTTCAAATTTTTTTTTTAAATCATGCACAATAATGCTTTGAAAACATCGATGGTACTATCGATAATTTCGGTGGAGCGGCCTTCGGCACCATGAATATTTTCCACGATTACTACTATCGACAAAATTATTTATTTTATTTAGTTTTATTTTTCAAACTTTCCATAATTAAAAAATATATGAAAAGCTTAGAGATAATTTCAAAAATGTTATACATTGAAATCCGTTAATTTTTCTTAAGTTTTGATATGAAAATAAATTAAAATATGTATAATTTAGTTGTTATTGAATTTTTTAAACTTGTTTTTAACCAATTAATATCAGGAGATCCCTTTACGACCACATTACTGAAAATAAGAACGAAAAAAATGTTTCTATACAAATGGCTCATTCGATATGTTCAGTCTTTCAGGCTTGCAGTCATTGAAGAAATCTCTGAATATAATGAAAATCAAAGTTTTAATACAATTTAAGATTTGTATTTTAATTAACATTATGGGTACTTACTAAATTTCTATACCATAATAATCTGCAAATAAATTAGCGGAAATTTTCTGTACGACTAAATTACTAAAAATATCGGCGATGTATTGGCGATATTTTTAGTCTGATAGGGAACAGGACATAAAAGTCGACCATCATGATACCAATTTATAAATTTTAATATTTTTATAATTATATTTATAATGAATATAATAAAGTTTACGTAGAAAAACACAAAGGGTACATATGGCGTTCGTGCACCATTCAACTAAATATATCGCTGATGCAATGCCGATATTTCCAGTAATTTAGTCATATAGTTGTATAGGGGAATACTCTAAATATTTTTCTAGCATATTTGAGCACTTAGGATATATTATTTTATTTGTAAAACAAACGGCTACATATATCGAATCGTGTTTTTGCCGATAGTTACGTGTAGATCATGTGATAAAAGCAAATGCATTTTCTGTTCCTATATTGCGAGCCCAACTAAATATATATTTGATTTGATTAAAATTTGTTAATATTTTAAAATATTTATTTTAAATATTTAAGTTCTCGAACAGAAAAAATTCATTTTGTTGCATAGAACATGGGAAGACAGTTGAACGAATTTGGTCAAGCAAAATGTTTTATAATAACCGAATTAATTGAATTAAAACCTTTAAATACATAATAATGCTTTATGTTTTCTTGCATTTGAAGGAAACTATTTGATTTTAGTCATTTTTTATTAATTTTAAACTTATTTGTTGTCAGGATAGCTAGCTTGTTCTAATGCCCATCACTAGTCAACACTGATTCAAGATAATTTCACAGTTCCGCATGGGGTCACACTGTTTATCGGACATTGAAATCGACATCGGATCGGCTGTGTTTTCTCGGTTGTTGTTGTTCTTGTGCCGCGATCGAATTTGTTTGGAGTTGCTGGAAGCAAATTATTATCATAATTAACTGCTAAGCCGTTTGTGGATACCACCAGCTGTGGCGAAAAGTATGCAAAGTGCCTTGGCAAAAGTGTGTTTTTTTTATCGTTTGTTTTTTTTTGTCTCACATTTGTTTTGCTAACATGTGCTGGAGGAATTTGTGCGTTTTTTTTTTTGTAGCTCCTTTTGCGGTTAATTTCCAGCTTAGAATTCCATACACTCCCCCCCAAAAAAATTGCGTTCTAAATATGTAATGTGTGCGTGTGCGCGCGAGTGTGTGTGAAAAGCAGGGGAGGGGTGGGTTGTAATGTCTGCAAAAATCGCCTTGTCTGCGACAAATTCGTAGTTTTTCTTGGAGTGTAATAATGTGACTCAAGCGAAAATCACTTGACTTGGAAGTAGCCCCCCGCTCTCCCCTGTTTTACTTTCGCATTAATGAAAAACCGAACGGTACAAGTACAAGGTGTAAGGAAAACAAAAACAAGAAGCGCCAAGTTTCGCACATATACACACACACATACACGCACACGTGAGAGCGGAGCCGTGCGTGTGTGTGTTGTATATATTCTGCGACGCAATTGAAAAGACATCGAAGGCCAAACAACTTTGCCTTTTATACCTCTTTTTTTTATGCCTCTTGTTTTTTTTCGCCCATAGTTGTTGTTAGTTGTGGTGGCTTTGTTATTTTTTGTTGTTATTATCACAACTTCCAAGCATTTCCATGCGCCTCCCTCTCCCTCTCGCTCTATATGTGTCGTCCCCGTCCTCTCACGCGCGCGCACTCTCCCACGCGCTCACTGGCCATCTCGCTCGCACGCAGCCGGTGTACGGTGAACGGACTAAACACAAAGAGGGGGGAAAAAAAGACAAGAATAAAAGTAGAACAAAAACAAGTAAAAACAAAAATGTCCAAGAGAATTGTTAATCATTTCACAAGTCCTTGGGGGAAAGTCGCAATAACATGCCACTTTTCCATGCTGCACAACGCAGTTTTCTTTGTTTTAATTGTTATTGTTTTTCCAATGACGCCGACGGTCAAAAATTGAAATTGCAATGCCTCTGTAGGTGTGTGTGCGGGTGTGTATGTGTGAGTGAGACAAGCCCTCAAAAGCAAAGAAAAGAATAACCAAATGACATTTAAATCATTTTCGTTTTCGCTTTTCATCTTGTTTTTGGTACATTGCCATTTAAGCGGACAACAACATCCAGTAATATGTACTATTTATTTATTCGTATTATTAATTCTTATTCTACGCAGCAGCCGCATTTCAAGAAAAGAGCCATAGAAAGGAGCCAGCGTGTGTGAAAGAGAGAGAGGGGGAAACTCTGCCCATGCGCACAGCTGATCCCAGGACCTGGCCTAACGGTAACTCGATTGTCTGGGACGAATAACGAACGTTGAGAAACGGTACGCTGAAATCGAAATAGTAATCGCAATCGAGAGCGAGCTAGAATCGGAAACGGAAACGGAAGTCTCCTTGAATAGAGGGATCGAAAGCCGGAAGGCAACCAGCCGCCATCGAAGAGCGGAAACCAAAACAAAAAAAAAAACACCACAAAACAGGTGAAAAGCCTTACAAAAAATAATAACAAGAGCTAAGCAGTGAAGCAAAAGCACCACCGAAAAAATGTTCCAAGCCCTGCCCCGTCCATCGCAAACCATGCTCCACTGCGGAGCGGCGGCCATCGTCACAGTCATCCTTATGGCCTGGTGAGTATACAAAAATAAACTTATTTTGCTTACAACCCTTTTAAAATGAACAAATGAACTATGAACAGGAAACTAGGAACTTGAACAAGAAACTAAAATAGACTAAAAATAAGCTTTCAATTACATTGTTTCTTATCAATGCGAAGGTTAACTTTTAATCTGCACATTTCTGATTTAGAAAATAATCTTTTTATGAAATTGAAAGCCCTTGTCAAAATGTAAACAAACTAGGTTGTTTTTTTATACCCTTGGAAGGAAGTCTGAAGCTTAAAACTAAGTGAAGGAGTCATTTGCGACCCTATAACCCATATATATTCTTGATCAGCATGAAAAGCCGAGTCGATCTAGCCATCTTCCGCAGAAAAATACATTTTTGAAATTTTTTCAAATTTTTAAAAGATTAAAATTGGGAAAAAATATTTCAAAAAATTTAATTTTTTTTTTATTTTCAATAAAGTATGCAGATTTATTAACCTTATAAAAACTACAGCTTTCCGAATCAAAATTAATGAGTTTTTGGCTGAGTTATGAGTTTTTTAAACTTTGATTTGTGAATAAAAAGGGTCATATAAAAATCTCAATAAATTTTAAATCAAATAATATGAAAATTGTAAAGTAGTTATGATTTTAATTCCATTGCAAACTGCAAGCGTATATAAACTTTGGCTCCCCAAATTTATTTTCCTATCTTGTTATAAAAAGAATTCAAAAGGAAGCTGAAGAAAAGCTATAGAAATGTTTTTAATTACCAAAAGATCTTAAATATATGTATATATATGTAATTGCCTTAAAAAGATTTCCTCAAGCATGGAAATAATTTATTATTCATTTAATTGGTCGTCGTATTTACCAGACTTTTGGTTATTACTTAAAACCGAAAGCATTTCTTTTTTTCCATATAATGCAATCACTCTAGAGGAAGCCCATCATACAGTTTATATATACTCTATAATAAAGCTGAAAAAAAGGAAAAATAGAGAAAGAATGAAAGAAAGAACGTCGTCGTCGCGTGGCCAATTTCGAGCTGAAAGTTGCAATGTTTTATTTTAGGACTAGTATATGCACACACATATAGATTGTGTTCCACATATGTAAAAAGCCCAACGAAATGAAGCTTCTGTGCAAGTGTGCAAGCACACCAGCGTTCAATAGGATAGGTAAGGGATCTATCCATAAGGTTTTATCAGTAATTTTGCTCTTCAATTATGAATTAAATTTCTAACAAAATTATAAATGTTAAAAGAAATTAAATTGGAAATATTAGTTTATATTCATAGTGATCCTATTGACTTAACCCTTGGTGTTGTTGGTCTGCCGGCGATCTTTTTGTACGTGCTTACACCTTCATTTTGGCTCTGACTTTTTACATATATGTACGTATGGATGTACATATATGTATACCTATGTATATAAATACATATATATGTATATGAAAATGTCACTCCATGCTCACCACACCCTCTCGGTTCGCCCCATTTTAAGCGTTCTGTGTGCTCTGTGGCGCAATTAACCAAAAAAAGAATTAAATGAAATTCAGCGAATGAACTGCACGCAGTATATAGTATATATATATATAGTCGATATTGGGGTTTAAGTAAAGAGTTATGCATCATTAAGTATATGGTATTTAGGGAATTTCATTGCCAATTAGCCGCAGGAAAAAATAAAGGTAATAAACATTACCCCAGCCTAATACCATAATACATTGTAACTTAAGGTGAAGTCATCTTTTTTTACATTTTGTGCAAGCTGTTAAAATTCAAGAAATCTTTACTTAACGACGTCAATTGCTAAATGAAAACAAAACAAAACAAAATACTTTGTGATAGAGTGAGTTGAGTGATGAGTGGGCTTTTTGCGTTTGGCAAAGATTAAAAAAATATATGGGTCAAATGATAGGTGATGGCAAAAACAGGTTCTAGAACTGATAAGCTCATAAATATTAAAGCTAACAAAGGAAAATGTTAGGGTTCTGAGAACAGCAAAGATAAAACTATGAATAAGGTTTTAGCAAACTTTTAAGAGGTCCCAAGAAAGTATTGGGTTCTTCACCCTATTTAATAATATATTTTTTTTTAATATTCACAGGGTTATAAAATTAACTAAATTATGTATGACTTTTATATGGAATATCCACTGTAGCCAACAAGTGCATATAAGACCATGTAACAATGCCTCTCTCTCTCCGCTTCCGTATCTAAAATGGGGACAATTGTGCGATATTTGCTTTTGCTGATTTTAGCTTCTAGCTTTGACACTTCTCTGTGTGCGGGCTTATTGCATTTGTATCAGTATCAGTATTACTCGCAAATAGCTAAAGAAGAACTACAACAAAAAAATAGCAAACAAATAGCTAACAAAAAGCAACTGACAACAATAACAATGATGTTGTTATGCATTCAATTGCGGCAAAATGCCATAGATCGTCAGCAGATCGTGCAAATAAGAAAAAACGATGTCCAAAACGCTGAACCCTCGAAATCTCTCCCTGTCTTCCTCAATTCCACATCAATCCAAATAGCGAATTAGCAGAGCTAGTTGAAAAAAATAAAAAAAAAAACAACAAGAAAAACACAGCAAGATAATTAATTAGACGCTTTTTCAAGAGCAAAACAAGTCGTCAGCGCGTTTCGTAGGGCGAGAGGCAAACATAACAAAGTAAACAATGACCAACAGGCAAAATATATACTTACAAAAACAAAATAGAAATAATGCTACACAAAAAGAAAAACACTGGAAAATTTGGCATAAATAATTACCAAATATATAGCTTTTGATATGAGTCATTTTGTAACATATATATATTATAGATATTTATTATCAAACAAAAACAAAACTATTCATAATATGGCGCATAGTCTAAAAACCAATAACAACATTTAATAAAAATTTAAATTCATTTAATTTGCTTTTGAAAGATGAACAAATTTATTTTACATTTATTTCACGATGAACTTTTGGTAATAAACCAAACATAACTCCATTTCCAGGCTAATTTCCTTCTTAATAACTTTCCAAAATGAATTCTTAATACAAAGATAAAACAAATTCCTGCAGAAATGATTTTCTAGGATATAATTTCGGAACAAGGGTGAACAAATTCATTCTTAAATAGATTCCAAGATGAACACATAATTTATTTCTAAGATGAACTTATTACCCAACGACAAGGAAACATTAAGGTTTTGTGATCACCAATTAGTTCTATTATTTTTCTCCCCCTGTACAGAAAAATCAGCTGATAATACAAATATTAAAAAAAAATAAATAAAAATATAAGCAATTCCAGACCATAAATCAAAGCATCGCAGCACCGTAGCTGATAACACTTTCCAGTTCCTGTTGGTTAGAATCCAAGTAGAGCTCTTGAATAATTCATAAGACAAAGCTACTACCACCAACTACAGTGATCAATATCCATGGGAATGGAATGGAGTTTGTTGGGTCTGAGTAATCGGTTGGAAATATGGATAGAGAGGCTATAGATTAGCGGCGAGGAAGTCGTTGCCTCCGTTAGCTGTCTGGAATTTGTTCATCGTTCACTTTTTGCTTTGTATTTCGCAACATTTATATTTTTTTGGGCACCCAAAAACAGTGCGTTTCATAAGATTATGGTATAGACTCATAGAAGATAAAGGGGAATTTTATTTAGTTATTATAAAAGAGGAAGATTAAGATTCTTATTTAATTATTTATAAAATAAAGGTGCGAATTAAGTAAATACAAGTTATATAAAAGTGTTAATAATAAATACCAGCAAGCTTAGAACGTTAAATAATATTTACTTTACCGATAACTAAAGCTTTAAACAAACGCTAGCAGTCATAGCTTGCCCTTAGATAAAGTCACATTATATATAAATAAATAAATAAATAAACAAATAAACAAGTTACCAACATGATTAATAGACTTGCTTAGAGGGAACTTTTATGGTAAAAATAAATAGTTTCATAAAGTAAAATTATATATATATATATAAAGAAATCAAAAAGAAGTCAAAGAAAACGCCTTACACTTTTGATATGCACTGTTTTCTGTGTGCAAAAATATTCTAGGGGTTTAATGGAAATCACAAATACCCCTCCAAAAAAATACGTAAGAAACAGAATAAAACAAAAAAAAAAAATACAACAAACACTCGCACTCGACCAGGTTTGACCAGCTTTTTTGGGGGAGATGAACTGAAACTGGGTATTGCTTCCTGCTAGAACATGTTTCACTGATTGACCACCGGTTTATTTGTTATTAATTATTGCCCTAAACGTAATAGACATCATCGAGATTCGGTCTTATAGTTGGCAGTATCCATTGAGCCTTTGTCCCCATCAGTTGGAGCCTTCTCCAAAAGTCCATTTAAGATCTCACAAAATTATCATATAAAGAAAGATCTAAAACGTATATTTTTGTTGTGTGTGTTTGTGTGTGTGTGGTTATTCCAGGGTACGACCACTGGGCGTATTATTTCTGGGATTACTTGGTTATTGGATTTATTGGACACGCTGCAGCTTCCGTATTGTGCCCACGGACGAGTTGCGTGGAAAGATTAACGTCTGGCTGCAAAGGATCGAGGATTGGCGTCATAGTAGCCCCAGTATGTTCTGTTTGGTCAGCAGCGGTTGCCTGGGCACCCTGGCCGTGCTCGGGCATCTCATCTCCGGCTCCACATTGGTGCTCACCATTCTGGTTGTCTCTGCCCTCGTCTCCACCAAGTACAACTTTAAGCTGCTAAAGATTGAGCACAAGGGTAAGTGAATTGTAATGAAAAATTACAGGGAATTTAATTAAAAGTGTAATTACCTCATAAAGGAATGAATATATTCATTTAAAATTCATTTTCAGCATAATTATGAATAAGATTCATTCCCAGTCTATTTCTATAATTAAATGTTGGTACAAAAATGAATCAAAATCATGAAGAATTTATTTCCCAAATGAACCTTTGGCATCAAGATGAACAAGTTCATTCAGAAAATAATTATTAATAATTTACACAATATTTATTTGGCACAAAAAAAGAAACCATTTCATTATACAGTACAGTAAACTATTTACTGAAAATATAACCAAATTCATTAAAAATTCATTTGCAAATATGAATATTTGGTACATTTAAAGTTAATAAAGTTAACCATCGGCACTTCTATCAAGAAAAAATCCCCATCTTGGTAACTAAATATCATTATGTTAAGCTTACCTTCTTAACTGAACCATAGTAACCCTTGATTATCTTTTGCAGACTTCCAATGGTCGGAGAAGCTCAACTACAACAACTTGGAGGCGGAGGCAGATGATGAATTCCTGCCCGATGTGAATGAAACGAATCTGTTTGTACTGGAGCGGGCTAGCGATGTGGCCACCATAAGCTCACCCACAGATGCCAACGACGAGGAGGATGATGAGCGCAGCGATGACATTCCCTCAGAGCTGCTCATACCGGATGTAATACCCGAAATTGATGAGCACTCTACGGATGAGGATGATGATCTGGCCCCGCTGGCTTCCAAGAAGCAGCAGCAACAGCAGCAGGAGAAGCACAGCGCCGCTGTGGCAACGACCAAACAGAGCGACAGCGAGCGCGATGATATGAACTTCCGAAAGGGACACTTTAAGCGCGATTCATCGCTATCGACCACCTCGTCATCGTCGGAGGAGAGTCTGTCCAAGGGACTGCAGTTCCCCGATCACACCACCGTGGATTCAGCGACGCGTGGCAATCAGCAATTGCGTCAGCTAACCGATGGCTCTTCCTCAACGCTGGATCCTGCCAGTGAACTTGTGGCGCTGGCGGTTAAGACCCAAGCGCAGACTTTGCTGGCCAATAGCGGCAAACTGCTGCCCAGCTTGGTCTCCGGTTTGGTGCAGTGGGGAGCGGGAGCAGCTGCTGCTGGTGGTGGTGATGCTACCGTAGCCACTATGGATGAAGCGAGTCAGCGGGAGCAACAGCGACGTATGGTAACCGCTTTGGACTCGTCCGATGAGAGTGACTTTGAGATACTTGAAACGGATGATTTCAAGTAAAGTATCGGAGCCGGATCTGGTCTGGTTTATGGATCGGTATCCGGGTGCGATTTATGCCGTATTATATATAAAGCTATTATCTAAAACATACATACTACAAGCACACACGCTGACATAACACACACAACACGCAGACAGACAGATGAACGAACGAAGGCGGCATAGGAGTTGGTTTTATGTATAGTTTCCCCGGTGGATATCAGTTGTATCACAAGTATAATTTGCTAAACTGATACATATATAAACTAAACTATATAATTTACTATATACTTTAATCCTTTAAAATTAAGCCAAAAATGTTTTCTGATGTTTATACTTTTGTTTAACCTTATTTGCTTAATCCTATTATTATTATTATTATGACTATAATTATGGACTATAGTTTGTATTTTCCTTTAACTTTTTGTTTCGTTTTTATTTGCGACAAAGAACAGAGAGACAGTATGCGACATGTACATATACTACTTACACACAAACACACTCACCTAATATGTATGGTTTATATAGAAGGGCGTTAATCTACTTAATCTGAACCCAAATCCAAGCAATTCAAACACCAAAAAACAACAACAACAGCAGGCAAAAAGCAAAACAAAAAATTATTAAGGAATTATAATACAACAACAAAATCTGGTTCGGTGCTATCTATATATAAATTTATATCTTTTTTTTTTAATCATTCGCCATATGACGTGCACAAAAAGAAGAAAACACTAAAACAAAACATAGAAGAAAAGAGAGATATAATGGAAATTAGAACTTGGGTGACTTTTGTTACCGCTGGCCATCATCACTGCACGTTCTACCACATATATAAAATCGAGTAAATACACCTTATATTCTTGTTTTTTTTTCTATTATTATTACTATTATTATTTGCGCTATGTATTTTAAGTTGTAATTTAATTTGCGAAACAAAACTAAATGTGATTTTGTAAAAACAACAAAAGAAACTAAAATAAAAATCAAAAAGACCTCGAAATGCGATATGGGGTCAACTATTTAAGCTTGGGGATGAGGATTCCTGCTCAGAGGACTTCAGTTGATTGGATTCAGGCTCTGGCTCTTCCTGAGACTCCTTCACTTGGTCTTCCTGCTCTTCCTGATGCTCCATTTCCCTTGTATCCTTCTCTTCGGCTTCTTTGCCTTGAGGCACCTTGGCCTTGGCACCCTTGCGTAAGGGTATAGTTTCCAATATAGCCGTTGTCCAGTCCTGGCCAGCAGCCACCTTGCTCAGCAGCTCAAAAACTGCAAGAAAAAGGTAGCATTTAGTAAATATCTCTCTAATTTAATTTACAAAACCATTAAATGTGATCTCACCATGATAGGTACTCAGCACGGAGCGCGTCTTCATGTCCACATGTTCGCCTAGCGGCAGCCGGGCGGTGTTTAAACCCGCCTCCGTGGCCCGTTGATGGCACAGACCCTTCCAGTGATTGTGATCCACCAGGCCACCAATCACATAGGTCGTGCCCGGCTGTAGCTTATCCAACACCTTGTCCGACTCGCAGGTGAGGTAGACCAGTTGCGAATGCTCAAACAACTCCAAGTGCGAGCGATCAAAGTGATACTCCACATGCCAGTTCTCCCAGCCGTCGTTCTTGCGAAAGGATTCATGGATATGGCCATTGCTACGGATGCCCGTGAAGTGCAGCTTGCCGGGATGCAAGCTCCGCCTGTTGATGGTATAGATGCGTAGGCATTGCTTCACACACTTGGCTATGTCACGCTCGTGCATCAAGTCATCGTAATCCAGATCAATGGCCACGGAGAGGGAGGAATCGGAGGCAGTCACCTGTCTCTTCTTCAGCTCCTTGCGGGAGGGACCCGTGCGGATGGGCAGACCGAGTTCCTTGGCCTCGCGGCGCTTCTGCTTCTGGCGCTCGCGTTCCCTTTCCCTGCGCAACTTCCTCAGCTCCGTGTATTCGGCCAACTTGCGTTGCTTCTTCAGCTGATTCTTGCTCAGCGGCTGGCCAGGAGTGGTGCCCGGACAGTTGTTCAGGCTGAGCACGGCTTGGGGCGCGGTCACTGGTTCTGCTACTTCCACTGCAGTCTCCATGTGTGAAAGTTTAACTTAAATTCTCTGGTTTGTTATTTTCCAGCAAAACAGCTGCGGCATGCGACAAATGTTATCGATAAATTTGACATCCACACCGGGCACAGCCATCGTTATCGGCTGTCTAGGAAACTGGTCACACTGTTTACCGAATTTAAGAAAATTTAAGTAGTTCCCTTAAATTTCTAAATTTGTATCATTAGTTAACTAGAATATAAAATATTTTTTATATTATAATATATATTTTTCTATAAATATATATTTTCAAGATTTCTATGGGCATTTTGAGTAAATAAATTCAAACGAAAAACTACAAATCATACAAAAGCTACAAGAATATCGATTCTGTTATCATTTTAAACAGACACGCAAAAGTAGGCTATGAAAAATTTCCCACAGTTTTATTTGAACTAATTAAGATTTTATAATTATTGATTAGTGTTCCGCTAAATAAATAAATATTTCAGTACCTAAGACAATTTTATACTATTATTATCTACTTTATTATGGTTTTAGACAGTGAAGGAGTCATTTCCGACCCTATAAATCATATATATTCTTGATCAGTATGAACAGCCGAGTCGAACTAGGTATCTCAGACAGAAAACAATTAAAAAACATTTTTTTTTAAATTTATGTCTTTAAAATTGTAAAAAAAACTTATAAAAATTATAATTTTGTTCAATTATAAATTGAGTATGCAGATTTATTAACCTTTTAAAAACTAGCATTGGAAAGTTTACCGAATTAAAATTAATGCTCTTTTGGCGAAGTTATGAGTTTTTAAAAATTGTAATTTGTTGAATAATTGTTCATATAAAAATATTAATAAATATTGTCTCAAAGAATGGCATTATATTTGAAGTCAGAAGCTTGAAACTACGTGAAGGAGTCATTTCCGACCCTATAAATCATATATATTCTTGATCAGCATCAACAGGCGAATCTTTCTAGCCATGTTTGACAAAAATAAAATTTTTTTTTAAATTAAAAATTTTTTGAGGTGTTACATCGTAAAAATTAAAAATAAAAAATCACAAAAAATTTGACATTTTAAAAATGTTAAACTCAATATGCTTATTTGTTAACCTATTAAAAACTAGCACAGAAAAGTTTTTCGTTTTGAAATTACTGCTTTTTTGGCCAAGTTATGAAATTTTCAAAATATGAAATTCCCCAAAAATCATTATATAAAAATATTTATAAATATTGAATATAATACGATTGCAATTTTAAAATAATAAAACTTATATATTTAAGTATTTTATATTTCTTCTTTATTTAAATAAATATTTTATGATATATTTTGATTGAGCAATTTTTCTAATCTAATAAAAAAAAGAAAAAAAAAGTTTATTGTCTTAGCTATTAAATAATATATATGATTTTTAAGGGTTAATCAATTCAAATGAGGAATGATGATCACATGGGAAGAATGGATGAGGCAGATGCCTCCTAGAATCGGGTATTATCCGGCATTTTCCGGAAATAGGCAATCTTATCCTTGGGCACACGATAGCCATGCATCCAGCGGCTGCCCTTGCGCAGGGAGCCATCGATGCCATCCTTCCACACGCCCTGCGGCAGATAAACTAAAAGGAAAAATAAATTAATAATTAAAATACTAAATAAATAAGATGTATAACGCCTTACCCTCTCTCTCCTCGCGACCTGCATGCAGAATGGGTGCCACGATAAGCTCCTCGCCAACGGAGAACTCATCGCTGACAATCAGACAGGCGGGATCATGGGGGTCCATCATCCACAGGGGTCGAACCAGGGGCAAACCCTCATTCATCGATGGACTTAGGTACTTCTTGAGCAACGCTATCACCACCGTCTGACGCACATCCTTCAGCTCCTGGGCCACCCGAGTGACCAAATCATTGCGATATTCCGATGGCAAATGACTAAACTGCATGGCCGGCATAAAGGTGGCCAGTTGGAGCCATCGAATAAAGAGTTCCGGATCCGGAAGTGGAGGCTGACCCAATGAGTAGAACGACACCATTTTGGAGAGCGGCCGTTGCAGCAGATAATCACCACCAATGACCCCGGGCAGGACAAAAGGATACCCAATTACACCATAATTTAGTACAGCAGCCAAGGTCTCCCTCAATCCCTCCCAGGTGGCATTCGCTGGGGGTGTACTCAAGAAAGTCGGTGGCTTTGGCACCACACTCGCTGTGGAAACAGCCATGAGACCAGCACCCTCCAGGCTCTCGGTAAAGAGCCTAGCATAAGTATCCGGATTATCCAAAGTCTGGCGACATTGATAGTAATGCGGTAGATTGTAACCAGTGCCCAGATCCAGATAGAAACTCTGAACTCCATACTCATCTCTCAGACGCTGTAGTTTCTCCAGGAGCCAAGGCACCGAGGCATTATTGGTTATATCCAGGACACCGGCACTGGAGCTACTCTTGTAACGTGTCAACGCTGGAATACTTCGCTCCGAATGACGCTCGTAAATCAACAATTTGCGACGCACTGCATCCTTGAAGTTGGCACTATCCGTGCTAATGAATGGCTGAATGGTGAGCACCACCTTGAAGCCACGTCTATGGAGCACATCAATGGTATCCTTCATTGTGGGAAATCGTGTTTTATCTACCGTAAAATCACCGATATTCTCTTGCCAAAATTCATTGATCAAAATGTGACCAAGACCCATGGCAATGGCACTCTCTGAGTAATCACAAATTGCTGTTTCGTTCAAGGATTCTGGGGTCTCGGCATGTGGTATCCGCCACACGGGTTCCTCCAGCAGGGAATGAAGTACCTTGAACTCCTGCTCCTTGAGGCCATCCCATAGACTTTGTTGGGTCATCAGCATGTGAAGGCTCCCCATATCCTCTGTAGTACAGATGCGGTAATCCAGCTGTGGGAGCGGTGTCAGGTGATTCACAAAGGTGAACTCATCATTGGCAGCCCGGAGGCAGAAGCGATTCTCCGTCCGATTAACACCCAGTTGGAGAGGAGTACGTTCATTTACCTGTGGGAAGGATAGAAAGGATTTACTTAATTGTTCATCGGGTTATTTCTTCATTCAATGTTCATCTGTTCATTTAGTTGTTCACTTGGTCAAACAGTTGTTAAGTTTTTAGGAAATTCATTCCTTAGTTTATATATTAATATGTTCATTTAGTTACTTAGTTCTTAACTTGTTTAGTTGTTCATTTAGTTGTAAAAGTGTTCATTTTGAGTTTTTCATTTATTTTATTATTTTCCCCCCACTCACCTGCATGGCCACTCCAATCGAGTTGATAAAGTACCTCTTCACTCCATTTCCAAACTGATGTACCTTGCTATCTCCGGAGGCATATGGAGCAAAATCAAAATTGGCATAACTGAGTGACCACTCCTGACCCTTGGTCACACCGCCACCAAACCATAGACCATTATCTCGCTTCAGTTCATAGCAATCGGTGGGCAGGAGACCTGGGGTCAGAGCTTGCCATTGGAGTGTGTAGCACCGGAAGACACCCTTATCCTCGAAATTCATATGCAACCGAGCAATGCCATTCCATTCGATGCAAACACTTCCATCGGAGCGACGCTGCTCTTCCAGGCAGTGAAATGGAGCAGTATCAAAGCCCAAGGTCACGCCCAACTGACCCGATATCACCTCCTTGTCCTCGTGACTCAGTATCCTTAAGATGCGATCGTGGGAATTGAACTTGATCTTCTGGAAGTAACTTCGAGTGAGCACCTGCTGGTGGTAAGCCACATAGGCGTAGCCAATCTGAAATGAGAAGGGGATGAGTGGGATTAAAATAGGTAACCCTCTTCAAGATTATATCTCTTATCTATGTAATACTTCCTCATTTTATAGAATTCTTTTGTAGGGAACTATCTTATCACTAAAGAAATATAAGCCAAGGTTTAAACTGTCCAAAAATTAACTCTCTTATTTAGGAAAAAATAAAGACAGCAAAAATAAAGATTACTGATAAGCAACTCAAATGTCAGCTTAAAGCCTCAAAACATAATGTTTGACAAGAGACAAGACTAGTTACAAATAAAAAATTATATTATACTATATAAACAATAAGCAGTACAGAATTATGTAAATTTTAATATTAATTTATACTACATTAAGAGTAAATAGGTAAGAATAATAAGTATATATATCAGTAAGTATCTTTTAACAGTAAGAAACTCTGATCAGTAATTAATTATGATCAGTAAGTATTTATGATCACTTACTAAAAATTTGAACACTAATAAACAATGACTTGCAACTTTTGTAACACAACACATATCTGAGACATGGCCGGCAGCAGTCACTTCGTTCCGGGGATGTTAGAACTAGTTGTGAATCATAAGCATAGATGTGCGTGATTTGTTTTGAACCAATTTAAGAGCAAGCTACTTTAAACTATGGAGTTATTCTTTTATATAATTTGACTAGTACATAAGCCGGAGCATGACGAATCGGTGGACTATATATATAAACATAAATATATATATCTGCCATAGGAACGATCGGAAAATTTTAAGAAGAAAAATGATTACTTTTGCATTTTTTAACAGATTTTCATCAAATTTGACATATAGCCATTATATATAAATCTTGAATTTTGTTTAAAGTTTGTATGAAAATCGGACTACTATATCATATAGCTGTCAACAACAAAAGATCCTTTAAACTAGAGAAAAATACAAAACGGTGAATGTAAAATTGTAAATATAATATAATATATATATATAATATAATATAATATATTTTATACTGTAAAATAGTCAAGAACAATATAATTTTAATTATTTACTTATTATAAACAAAATAATATAAATTTAATAGCCAGTTTTCACTCACCAAAAATATGATAATGAAAAACATAATAATAACAAAGATCTTGATCTTATAGTCCTTGGTCTCCCGCTTCTTTTTCCTTATCAGCTGAGGGAAGGCCTAGAAAACAGAGATAATATATATATTATTTATAAATTAAATTCTTATAAAAATCGTATATATATATAAAGCTTACCTGCATCTTTTCCCTGAGCAAACTGGCCAAGGAATTGACACTGGTAATGGAGGCCTGATTGGAGGCCAAACTGTGGCTATCAAAGTCGCTGGCCAACATTTCCTTGCTGTTGAGCCGCAAAGCGGGCAAAGGGGCAATTGAGGCACGTCTTCGACTACGAAAGCGATCGCTATAAAAAATTAAATATATAAAAATTAATATATAAAAATTTTAAATCTATAAATTAAAAAAAAATATTATTTCCTAAACTAACGTTTGCCTTGTTTTTGTTTGATATATGAACACATAATAAAAATTATACAAGCAAAGCAAAGAAAACATCATTTATGAGCTTGATGATAAGCAGACTTTGCTGTCTATATGTTTATATATATGTCAGACTGATGTCAGCTGATGAACAACAAATATTTAACACTAATAATACAAATTTAATTAAATTCCAAAGATTAAGGAAGAGTTTAGAAATAATTATTAAAAGTCTATTAATATATTATAAGCTTTAAATGTTCTTGAAACTTTGCACAATCTTAAGCTGTTTTAATAAGTCTGAAAAAAATATTTAAAAAAATGTTTATATATAATAAATTATACAGAACATTTTTAAAAAATATTTTAGCTTATTATGAACCTTAAAAACTATCAAAGGAAATCCCCCTGAACTTGCTTGGCCTCCAATGCCAAGCTTATCTTACCTTATCAAAGCGGAAAATCGCCTTTTCTGGGATTTGTTTACATAACACAGTTTATTTTATATACTGTTTTCCCCTTGATATGCAAGTCTCTGATTTAATATTTAATAATAATATTTATAAACAAAAAAAGGAAACCAAAAACGCATAAACTTTCCACCTTGCTCTGTCTATATATGCTCTCTATAATTATATGGTACTTGTACTTGCTTGGCCTGATTTATTTGCTAAAGTTGATAAGCCTCGTCTCGGCTGGTAAACACGCCTCTATAGCCGATATATATATATATATATAGTATACTATATATATTATAGTATAGTATCTGAAGTGTAATATTGGTATCTTGTACTGGTTTACACGTTGCTGGGGGATGTGCTATCACACCTAATCACGACCATCAACTGAGCCGGAGAGATTTCCCCCAGATTCAGATACAGCTCTGCACAGATACAGATACAGATACATATACATATATGTATATATATATATAGATACTGTAGATACATACAGTTCCAGATCTCCTCCTCCAAAAATTAACTTATCAGATTGGAGACCCCGCACAACGTACTCTGCCAAGTCTGTCTGTAATTCCCTTAAGCAGTTAAATTGCTTCGATCGCGTGTGTGTTGTGTGTGTGTGTTTTTTTATTTGACATCGCTATCAGTATGACACGGAATTATTTTTTATATTTTTGAAATTCTCTGAGAGAGATATCAGAAGGGTATTAAAACATCTGTTAAGTTGAGACGATCAGAAAGATTTTAATACGGGGAGGTTTTTGAAATTCAAAATCAGGGATTGGTATGAAAAGGAAGTGGGTATTAATTTTTATAAATTAAAATATAAGGGCTTTAAGTATTTAAATATGTACTTAAAATAATTTAAAATATCATTATAAAATATTTATTTTATGTATATATTTATTTTTATGTTTTGTATCATTGAATATTCCAGGCTTTTCAAAAGAACACTTTGTATATTTTAAATAATTTCTGTAAATTATTTTATAAAGATATAATAAGACCAAAGATTTACTTTATTCTTGATTTTGTAACCATAGAAATTATTTCATGTTATTTATAGTATAAATGATTATATTCAAATCTTGAAATATCTTTAAAATTTAAAAACAAAAAAATACTCAAAATTTTCTAAGTACATGTAAACAAATAATATTCTATACTTTAAATATTTAAAATATTTGTATATATATATTTAAATAACCAGTGTTATAATGGCATAATTGTGGAGAAACCTAAAGCTTTCGCTTATCCGCTCATCACACTTACAACAATTTTCAAAAATAAAAAAACAATAAAAAAGGTCCACTACACAATCCAACTTAAAGTTGCTATGCAGTTTTTGCAATAATAAAAAATATATAGAAAACTGATAACCAAGAACCTTAGAGAAATGCATTATTTAAATCATTATTAATCGTTATTTTAATATGAGAATTTATTCTTCACATGGTATTTTAAAAATCTCATAACTCAGCCAAATATGCATTAATTTTAAATCGGAAACCTGTCCTATGTTAGTTATTATTAAGTTAATAAAGCTGCATACTCAATTTAAAATGTACAGAAATAAAAAAAATTGTAAAAATTTGACCATTTTAAAGATGTAACCTCTTAAAAAATTTTTTAAAAATTTAAAAATTAATTTTTTTTGCTGAAAATGGCTAGATTGATTCGCCTGTTGATGCTGATCAAGAATATATATAATTCATAGGGTCGGAAATGATTTCTTCACTTAGTTTGAGGTTTCTGACTAAAACTAGAATACCCTGGTATTACAGTACCCTGTATTTATAATTTATATTAAATTTGCTTGGGTTTTTATTTATATTGTTAAGTGTTAAACCCATCGATTGTGTGCTGGTAATAACTATTATTGAGCCAAACACATTTTCCCCTATTCCATATAAGTTGTGTGTCAGGTGAAGGCGGAGGGGGAAAAACCTAAAGATTGAATGAAAATCACAATAAAAATTAGCATTGGGCGGCAGTGTCTCTTTAACTGTAACTGATAAATACAAAATTATCACGGGGCGTGGAATGTGTCGGGAAAATAACATATAGCACGTTCCCCCTCAGAAAATAGTCGCCGAGACATTTACAATTAAATTACTGTCACAGTAGAGCAGAGGAGACTTTCAATTAATTAATCTAATTGCTCCAATGAATCAAGAATTTAAGAATTTTTTAATAAAAAATAGCAAAAAAAAGAAAATTAGCAAAGAAGTAAGATCCTGTCGGTGTGTGTTTGAACTTTAAGGGATCTAAAGAATTGAGTTAATGGTAGTTTTGTTTTAATTGGTGATAAAGTTAATAGGGAATAATTAGTCATTATAGAATTAGTTGCGAAGGTTTTGTTATATGGAAATTAATTTTTGATTCAGAGAAAGTGATATTAAATAATTATATTATATAGGTATATTTATTTTTATTTTATATTATTTATTTATATATATTTGAATTATTTCTTGAGCTTTTTACGTATACTTATACCTATGTTTTATATATTTATATTCTTTGGAATATCTAATTGATTGATATATGATTTAGTATCACTTTTTATTTATGTTTCCTTTAGTAAAATATATTAAAATATATACCTATATTTATATTTTATGTTCTTTGGAATATCGGATTGATTGATATATGATTTAATATCACATTGTTTATGTTAGCTTATGTAAAATATAATAAAATATCAGGATATTAAAGATTTATTAATGCTTTATATATTCTACTATAATTTACCCATTTTCGCTGATTGTTTTTTAATATAAATGATGTATATCTTACCGATGTACTGGTCTCCTGGCATTTCCAAACTCATCATCACTATCATCGTTGGCACTTGCATTGGCATTTGCAAAATTGATGGAACTTGTGGCCTTATCCGGTGTATTTAATGCCGTAGTTGTTGCCGTTGGTGTTGGTGTTGGTGTGTCCAGGCTGGAGGCCCCATCATCAACTATCTAAAAAAAGAAAATAATAATAAAAAAAGGGGAGCAATTACTTACATTATTATATTATACTCTATATATATACTAGAGGGATTTTAGCGCCTTTCGAAATTGATAAAGCAAACAGTAAACAATTGTAACTGACTCTGCTTTTGGCACCTGCCAACAAGGTAAAGGTGAGTGCAATTAGCGGAAAGGCGTCACCAGAGTCAAGGTTCCACAACGCTCTCCATAAACCGCAAATTGTTATACATTGTATGTATATAAATATTATATATATATATTTAAGTTAATAAGTAACTAGTACCTGCCTTATCCTTATCCAAATCCTCACTAATATCCACTATTATATCGGTTTCTATATCTTGATTTTTGGGTTTTATTATATCGATAGACTGAAGAGGATCAGTTTTGGGTACACTCGATAGGATAAATCGACTGCCATTGGGTGAACTCATTTTAATTGATTTAACTTTTATTAAATATATTTTTTTATTGTATTTATTATTTTATATATACATATAAACTTTGGTTTTTAATATCACAGTTATTTGTTGAAACTAAAAAGTAATAATAATAAATAAAGAAATAACTTTAAAGTGAAAGGGGAAAATATTATGTTATTTGAAAGATATATTATAGGTTTCACTGCACACATCTGCCTTTAGAAAAATTATATAGATATATATATATTTTTATAAAAAAAACATGTGATAAATCTGAATTTATATATTTATATTTTTTTAGGAGTTTTTAAGGTTACAAACTATCACAAATTTATAGATTTTGTATATGTTATCAAGGTGATTTTATAATTTTTGTTAAAACAAGCACTTTAAAATTTTGGTTTGTAAAATATAGCCTTTAGCTGATTTATTAATTTATTAAAATATATTTTTTAACAGTTTTTACTTTCATTAAAAAAAACAGGGTATTAGAAAATGCACAGCAATAAAATATATAAAGTTTTAAATTCTATAAGTCACTGATAAGTAACTCTCATGGTTTTTGGCTTTGTATATTATATATATTTTTATATTTTATATATTTTTAGCTTCCATAATTATTATTATTATTATTAAAAAATTTTATTTATACAGTCCAGGGTATGTTTTTAGAGAGAGAAACTGACAATTGACGCGATCGCACTGTTAACCGTCGATAATTGCCGGATCGCTATTGCCGGAATATTGTTTTTGAAGCCGCAATTTATGCGTTTTAATCGCAACGCTCTCTCTGCCTCAGTCGACGCTGGCAGCAGCAGAGTACACTCAAAGAAATTACCAAGCTGTTAAATATACCCATAGATCATAATAAGTGAGATATCAGAGCGAAAACAAAGGCAAGTGTTGCCTCTCTCTCGATGTGGGAATATCATTTTGATTTAAATTCGGATGAAGATTGTGATTTGTGATAGAATTAACCGGCAGTCGTAAATTAATTGTAGTTGGCCCCCTTGCTGACCTCCCCGATTGGTTACGTGGCTTTTCTTTGACGCTTTTCGCAATTATTTACTGCTAAAAACATTAATTAATTTGACTTGATAAAAATATTATACTTCCTTTAATTTTGAACAATTAAAATGTTTAATAATTGAGTATAACATGAATTTCTTATCAATTAATATATAGGTTTGGATATGACTCCCTTCAGTGCATGCCCATCTCTCCCTCTCTTTCTATTCCTCACTCACTGCCTCTCTCTAGCTCTCTCTCGCTCTTACTCGCTATTCAATCCCAGCCGTGCATCTCTAGAGATATGGCTTTCTCTCTAGCGCTCTCGCTCTCTCTCGCTCTGCTCCTCTCTTCACTCGGGGAGTATAAATAGAGGCGCTGTCGGGCCGCGCGCCTCAGTCTGTGCTAGGGGTACCTAGTGTTAACATCTATCTAGTGAAAGTGAAAGTGATCAGTGATTAACCTGCAACCCGAAAATTATGACGTGGCCATTGGAATGCATCTGGATAACCAGGAAGAAGAAGAAGCTTAATTCGATGAAGATGATTAGAAGCCTAATTGAAGTCGACAAGAATATGGGGTAAGTCTTAACAATGATAATTATTAATTATGAACTAGATAGATTATATTGGAAGAATCAGAATTAGGTTTAGAATCAGCTGTGTTAGCTTTGCATTTATTTTTATACTAATTACCCTTCTGATATGGATCCCATTACTAAATATTAACATTAAATGATACAGCAATTTGTATTAAGAATATCTATAAACGTATACGTATAAAGTTGACAGCCTAACTTAATTACAAGTTAATCAACTTTTGCTACATTATTAAAATTTTCAAGAGTATTATAATTTAAGTCAGAAGCTCGAAACAAAGTGAAGGAGTCATTTCCGACCCCATAAATCATATATATTCTTGATCAGCATGAACAGCTGAGTCGATCTAGACATGTGCGGTGGTAAAAAAAAATTTAAAATTTTTTTCCATATTTTATCATCATTTTTTTACCTTAAAATTATCCGACATTTGACGAAAAATTTAAATTTATTAAAATATTTAATTGAGTATGCAGATTTATTAACCTAATAAAAACTAGCACAGAACAGCTTTCCGAATTGAATTTAACGCATTTTTGGCTTAGTTATGACATTTTCAATTCGTTGATTTACCTTAAAAATTAGCATATTAAAATATTGATTTAATATATAAGTAAAATAAAATAAAATTAAATTTACTTATAAATATACATATAAAAAACATACACAAGTCATATATATTCCCATTTCCAATCCAAATCTTTATAAATAAACAATATATCATTTGAAAACTAAATTCTACAAAAACATTTTGCAATGTTTTGTAAGTTAAAAGCATTATGAAAATTGTTTAATTGTTAATATTCTAAGAAAAGTAAATACAGGGTATACACACCTCGGCTTCATAAGTTTGCTTTCTTTCTTGTAATTATAAGTTGTTTACCTATTTATTTCAACTTTAATTTTAACATACAAAATATTCCCGCATTGCCTACTTTTGGCCTGCTTTCCCAGTGAGACCACACTGCGTATGTGTGTTATTTTGCACGACAGCTTGGACAAATCACACATACGCCGCATTGGCCGCCCGCCGTCTTATTTGCAGCTCTATAATTAGCGCAAGTCATACACTTTTTTTCCTCTTCACCTTTATTTTTTTATTTTTATTAATTTACTCACCTGCCATCAGACTGACAATGATGTTTGTTTAGTAATGATGTTGATTTTGAGTTACAAAATAATAGATAGAATCTCCCACGCGTGGCTGCGATGCGCTAATACTTGATTTGAATTGGATAATTCTGAGTGAAGGCGCTGGCCCATGAATAATGTAAATTTATATATGTAAATATATATAAATGTTTATATATATGAATATATATATTGTATACATATATGTATATAGCAAGAATCAATCACAATTTAGCTTAAAAACATCTCGCTCTCTCCCTCACTTATTCACAATTGTTAACATAATATTTTAGCAGGAAACCAGTTTTTGTTTGAAGTGATTTTAGGTTTCAAAATTAATTAAGTTAATTAAGTTGTATGAAATGATAACACATTTTGTGGGCATAAATATGCATAATGTTTAAATGATTTGGAAGCTATAAACATTAATTTGGAGCATTTTAAATGGATATTTTTAAGGGGACTTTTTAAAGTTATATTTGTTTAAGTATTTAATCGAAGTATAACATCCTCCTTTTTGTATTTTATATCCAATTCTATTTGTTTTTGAATAAGTTATTTTTTATTAATTAATTTTCTTGTTTTTACTATAGTTTTGTTTAAGATTTAATGGTTAAGAACCTTTTTCTTTTTGATACTTTAAAATATTAATTTAGAATACAGTTAAACCTTCTTTATTGCTTTATTATATTCACTACATTTGTTAAATATTTTATACTTGTTAAATTTATTATAGGATTATTAAATTTTTATATTTCTTTTAATTTATTAACCTAACGAACTTAATTAAATGTGCTAAAATGATGGGTACCTTTGTGTACCTATAACATCATCATCATTATTATCATGTGATGGCACAGAAGTTCGGGTTTTTTTTTATGTCACATGTAGAGTGTTTGCAAACTTACTATAATTAAAGCCCAATTAACGGTTTAACGGTTTATATATATAAATATATATATTTTGGTGATTTTTTTCGCTGTAAGAGAGCGAGACTAGACGCTACGTTTAAGTACACATTGTATTTTAATTTCAAAACTGGTTTGTCGCAATTATTATTATTGTATTTATATTTATATATATGTCTTTATAGGAACACGAGTTGTAGGTGAATAACCTGACCTCTAAAACAGTCTGCTTCATACAGGAAGAATTTCTGAATGAAACTAAAACCTATCTAGGGATTGTTATACTTTTCCGATTTGGAATAACTAATATAAAATATGATAGAATATTTAAAATTTAAAAATAAAACAATCATATCTTTTCCCTATAAATTTCTAATATTTTCCTATATGTTTCTTATATATTCCATATATATTCTCTATATATTTCCTATAAATACCCTATAGATTCTTTATGAATTCCTTATAAACTCCTTAAAATGTCAGTATATATTATCATAATAATAATACATAAAAATGTATTAAAAATGCTATATTAATTCCCCATAATATCCTTTTAAATTAATTAACAATTATATATTAATTCTATAAAAATTGTATTTAAAATAGTTTTAAAGTTCTTATAAATTCAATTTAAGCATTCTGTATATTTTCTATAGATCCCTTATAAATTCCTTCTAAGTTCCTTAAAATTCTCTATAAATTGCTTATAAATTCTTTCTAAATTCCTCAAAAATTCTCTTAAAAATTCAGTATAAATTCCAAAAAAAATCCCTATATATTCCATATACATTTTCTAAAAATTCCTTATAAATTCCCTATAGATACCTTATGAATCCCATATAAATTCCATATAATGTCTCTATATATATCCAAACAATTTCTAATAAATTCCCAATAAATTCCCAATAAATTCCTTAAAAAATCCCTATAAATTCCCAATAAATTCCCAATAAATTCCCAATAAATTCCCAATAAATTCCCAATAAATTCCCAATAAATTCCCAATAAATTCCCAATAATTTCCTAATAAATTCCCTATATATTATATATAAATTCTCTATAAATTCCCAATAATTTTTTAATACACTCCCCATAAATTTCTATATTAACACCCATCATATAGATCAATAATCAACTCACAATCTCCTCATGCAGGGCATCCTGTGGCTGCATCTGATGCCTGAGACGCAGTGCCTCCAAATCCAGGGCATTAATACCCGATGGCATTGATATGGAATTGCGACGCAAGCCCGGAGCAAAGGCCTCCGAAGGTGACGGTGTATTCTTGTCCACCGGTGAACTCCTATCCGATGGCTCCTCCGGTGTTCGTTCATTGATCACTCTAAGGTGTGGCAGTTCGACATTTCTACGCTCACTGAGGCTGAGTTTTCTGCCCGGATGATGATGATCCTTGGTTACCAGCTCATCCTCGGAGCCCGCGGAGGAGTCTGCGTCCGCGTAGGCCAATTCCGGATGCTGACCATTGAGCGCCTGCGCGGCGCCCGAACTCGAACCGGGATGAGACGACGACATCATTCCCACCCCCAACAAATGAACCGATATATATAATATATAATATATATATATATGGAGCTCCAGCGGCCGGAGAACCTGACGCGATCGCGCTCCACTGGCGAATGAGAAAGGGTTTGGAAGCGTCGCCGTGAAACCCAAAATCGAGAAATCGAAATGGAAATCGTTGAGGAGGAGACAGGTGGAGCGGAGGTTCGATTGCCATCGCTGTTTGCTTTTAATCAGCGCTTATCATCGCAATTCAGCGATAATCGCACACCGGAGCAAAAAAAAAATAATAAAAAACAGTGAGTAATTAATATAGGGTAGATCGATCATTTTAGCCTTACATAAACTATTTATTCATTTATTTAGTACATGTATAAATTATATATAATAGGTGCATATAGATTTTGTATTTCTGGTTTATGATTTGATATTTTATTTGCACTTTAATCTTAATTAAAGTGTTTTTATTACATAAATTTAAAAACATTCATCATCCGTTAAAAGTTTTTTTTTATTAAGATGCTTTATTGTGTAACAAATTACGATTGAGTTAGAAATATTTACTTTTACACTTTCGACATGAAAAAGTGAACTTAAAGCTTTAATTCGATAATATCAATTTATAAAATCTAATTACTATATTGAGTAATAAAATTACACCATAAATTATATCAAATATTTTATAATTGAGCTATATATATTTATAATGAATGGATATAGTAAGTTTATTGGAAAGGAACTGGAAAAATGAACACTAGATAATATACAAAAAAATTATAAATAAATTAAAACATAGCTGCCTTTAAAAGCATAAAACTTAGTGAAGGAATTATTTCCGACCCCATAAATCATATATATTCTTGATCAGCATCAACAGAAGAATCGATCTAGCCATCTCAGACAGAAAAATAAAATTTCAAAATTTTTTCACTATTTTTAAGGGGTTGAATCGTTAAAATCGTCACAAAAAAAATTTGAAAAAAATGAATTTTGAAATACTTTAAAATTTAGTATGCAGATTTATTAATCTAATAAAAACTAGCTCGAAATTTTTGTCCGAATTAAAATTAATACATTTTTGGCCGAGTTATGGGTTTTTTTAAATTTGGTTTGTCGAAAAAATTGCCATATAAAAATATTGATAAATATAGATTCCAAGAATCAGAATATTTTAAGCTTAGCGATGAGTAATTTCCAATTTTATCCTATAATTCAATTATAAACTTTAAGGTTATTTAAAATATTTTAATTTAAATGGAAAACCATAAAATAAATAAAAAACAATAAGCCCTAATAATTATTTTTCAAAAGAAGTGTTTAAGAAAACTTCAGAAACTGTATTTTAGCCTTTAAGATTATTATCTTACGGCTTTGTATTTTATAAATATTTTTAATATAAACATTCATTATTTTATTCAGTTATTTATTATATTTTTTTATTGTTTAATATTATCTTAATTAGATTTTTTTTTATTGTTTAATATCATCTTAATTAGAAACTCATATTCTGAGTGTATTTATTTATTTTAATTTTTTTTTTAAACCCACTGTTCTGATTACGCAGATATGTATATATATTTCTGATCCCAAAAATCCCTTTCTTTTGCCGCTGTTTGAACTCTCCGTCAGCCCTGCTTTCCGCCTTTTCTATTGATTCAGTTAATTAAATTCGTATTTTTTTTTTTTTGTTAGCCGTAAACAAAATTCGTTGATCGCATTTGTTTGTCCAGTTAATTAGGCGCAATCTCTGGCTCTCCCAATTCTCACTCTCAGCCTGAATCTTCCCGACAATTCTCGACCTTGTTTCAGCAATGAGCGTACTCAAAATATATATACAAAATAAAATAAATACAATAACAACAAATTAATCAACTGACAAGAGTCAAGAGCTAAAACTCGTTCGTCTGCCGATCCGATCGATTCCAACAACAATAACAACCGGCAAACAAGCAGCAAGCGGTTTTTAATAATTACATATGTTACCTGATAAGGTAAACAGAAACCCGAGCCACCCAACCACCAAAAACCCACCCACCCACCAACCTTTCCCATACCCCACAAACTTCCACTTCACCATCACGGGGCTGAATAATAAAACTAATTCGCAATATTGTTTAACAAATTGCACTCATAAAACTCTCTGAAAGTGGGTAAATATTTGACGATACGATGGCAATATTTATGATTAGGGCAACAGGAATAGGAGGAAGAGGCGATAGTGTTGGTACTGGAATAGCTGGAATAAGTGAACACTTCCGGCTAAACGTTGGAAAGTACAAAATAAATAAAATGGATTGCTGGAAATAGTGAATACTTCCTGATAGAGTAGCAATGGAATGGATGAAATAAGTAAACACCTTCGGTTAACGTTAAATAATAATAACAAAAATATATAAAATAAAACTATAGGAAGATCACAGCTAATGTTAGAAAAATATATAATCATAATAATAATATTGGAAGAAGAGGCTATTAAAATAGCTTAATATAGTAAACACTTCCAGGTTGAATTAGAAAATATAAAACTATTTATTATGCCCTCAAAAATTATATAAAAAATATTTTAAAATTAAGCTATATCTATTTATCAATAACTAAAATAGTGATTTGAAAGGAATACCTGAAAAAATGAACCCTAAAAATGGCATTTATACAAGAAATTATTTATGAATAAATAAACATAAATTAATTAGCATACTCTAAAATCAAATTTTCAATTTTTTTTTACCTTTATTTCATAGTCAATATATACTGTATCTAAAGCAATCAGACTGAATCACATATAATAAAACGATTTAATATAACCGGCATAACCATTCAACATTTACGATCTACTGATAAAAATCCACTACAGTGTTGTTAAAAATAATTTCTAATCAGTTGAGAGGAGATTCTTTATTTTTGCCTGACTTTATATTAAAGATAATGGAAATAGAATGCATTTAAATGAATTAATTTTAATTATTATTAAAAAATATATATTTTAACAGGTATAGGTTTTACTGTAAGCAATTTACAAGCCAAAGTAAAATCGGATGACAAAAAAACATATACTTTAATGTCTCTTTTTATAATTAATATTCCAAGCACGTAACGTGGCCAAAGTCGATATCAAAGTTGGTCAACTCTCTGAACATAATATTAATATGAGACGACTGATATAGACAACAGTTACAGACATTGTTAAAGTATAATATATATTTTTAACATATTAAATAATCTTATAAAAACCCCTTTTAAACTTTACAATTTCATAAACCACATTTAGCCTCCCAAATTTTGACCCTGTTCTTGTCTGTAGAATTTTCTGAGCTACATTTTCAAATATTTTAAAAGGTTTCCTACCAACAAATAATTACATTTTACCTTTAAATAAATACTGTAATTTGTTTTAAAACAAATTAGATTTTTTATCAATTATGTTACATGCTCTCCAAAAAGTATGCTATGAAATTTTTGCACACAAAATGCAGCAGAAAAGCTGCAATTGCTGGTGCATTTTTGTGCTTTTGTAACCTCTTGGCTTTGCGTTTGTTTGTCTTTGCTTTGCCTTTTGCCTCTTTTTGCTTACTTTCTATCGCATGCAACAAATGCAGCCTGTGACGTCATCGGCGCCAAAATGCAAAAGCTTTTTAATGGAAACACACGCACACTCTCTCAGCAGAAGCACACTCATAAAATGAAGCTCGCGTTGCAAATGCTGCATTTGAATAGCATAGCTTATACAATTTTTATTGCAAATTTTGCTGCAGCTGTTGTGTTCGTTGTTGCTTATTTATTTATTTTTTTTGATACCCTGCATGCGACAATCATTTGGTTAAATGGGGTATATCGACTTTTAAGTGATTCATTTTTATAAACAAAATAATTTTATATGGCTTAAATAAATATAGTTCTTATTATTTGATTCATTTGGTATACTTCAATTTTAGTTATATATATGTTTCAATTTCCTGTTAAATAATAATTAAAATTTAATAATCTATTTTAAATACAGAAAATCCTTTAGATACCAATTTTATATCATTTTTTTAATGCATAATTTTTAAAGTTAAAAAGAAATAGTAGTTTTTCTATATATTTATTGATTTTTTTAATAGTAATTAAATTTTAGCTCACAAGAAAAAACTTAAATAGGTACGATATTAACTGAAATATCTAGTATTCCTAATAGTTTCCGTATTTAAAAGAGACAAACATTTGTATAGCATTTTTTCCGTTATTATTAATTATCACAGGGTATTAACAATTCGTCGTAGCTTGTCCCTAATCAGCCGCCACTTGTTGTTGCTGCTGCTGCTGCTGCTGCTGCTGCTGCAGTGCGCTAGCCGACTGGCGTGCCAGCATAAAGTGTTTGCGCTGCAGCTTTTGTTGCTATTTGCTATTTGCAATTTGCAATTTGCGCGCAGTTGGTTTTTCACGCTCAGTTTTCGTTGCGCGTCCGCTGTGAGCAGTAGTAGTTTGTTGCTATTGCAGTGCACTTTTCATACACATTTATTATCAGGCCCCCCACTCCCGCCCCCTTTACCTAGGGGGTCTAGGCTCCCCCCCCCTGTGTTTTCTATCGCGTGCTATGTTTTACCGTTGCAGCTAGTTGGTGATCTTGTTAAGGGAGAAAGGCAAAGCTAAAGAGAAAGAGAGGGGAGAGAGAGAGAGCGGGGAGAGAGTGGTGAAAGAGAGAGTGCTTTGGAGGCAATGTGCTGGGCCGCCATGGCTCGGAAGGACGATCCCGTTTTCAACGTGCGCTTCGTTCAGTTTGTCGAAAGTGAACCCTGCCTGTGGAATTACACGCATCCCGGCTACAGCAAAAAGGAGGAGGTGCAACGTGCCTGGCAGCAGGTGGCCAATGAGATCAAGGACACGGGTAATAACGGAAAACTCTACCCCCCTTTTTTTTTGCCGCACAAAACTCATTGCAATCGTTTCCTCTGCTTTTTTAACCGCTTCCAAATTGCGTGCTCATTTTGTATTCATCGTGTGTGTGTGTGTGTGTGTGTGTGTGTGCGTCTATGATGCAAGCTTTTGTGTGCCAGTGTGTGTGTGTGTGAGTGCATTTGTGATTGCAATTTTTGACGTCTCTTTTTCCTCGTTTTTCTTTTGTGTGTGTGTGTGTCACTATGTCGCACAGCCTTTGCTTTTGCATTTGCTTTTGCATTTTGCATTTGCTGCAGTCAATTAAGTTTTCAGCAATTGCTGCACTTGGCAAATACACTGCAAAGAAAAACGGAAAAACAAAAACAAAGCAAAGAAAGTCTTTAGTGCAGACGCAAACCCATTTAAGGTTAGTGCAAGCGAGATAGATAAAGGATTGCAATTTCTTTTGCTTGTAACTTCCTTGTTTATTAAGGAATTTTAATCAAACTTTAGGAAAATGTTCCTTAATTAATAGTTAATTTATTAAACAAAATTTTAGAATTTTTTAATAATGTATATATATTTTATTATTAATTAATTTGTTATTCCCAGTTCGCAATTGCCGCGAAAGATGGCGCACTATCCGCAGCAGCTTCCTGCGATCCTTGAAGCTGGCACGCACACAAACTGGTCGCGGCAAGCGCAAGTATTACCTGTCCAAGTACCTGCAGTTCCTCATACCCTACACCAAGTCCAGGTCATGTCACAAGCAATTGACACCTGTCCTGGCCACGGCTGGAATGGTGCTCCGGAAGCCCGGAAACGGAAGTAATCCGTTCCCTATGACAGCAGATCAGCTGGAGAATAACGGTGAGGAGGAGCAGGAGGAAGAAGAGGAGGAGACCAAAGAAAGCGAGAACGAAATGCCCCTGGATGTGCAGGTTTCCGAGGAGGAAGAGGAGGTGTTGGTCAATCATTCGCGGGAGGAGCATCAGGAGCATCATCATCAGCAGGAGGATCAGCATCCTCGTGCCCCGCCCACCGCCTGTCTGCCACTGCGCCTGCAAGCCATCAAAGTGGAGCATCCACCGCATCCCCCCACCAATCCCAGTGGAAATCCTCAGCTGGACATGATCCCAATGAGCCATCAGTCGCTGGTCACTGTGCCCGCTGCCGCTCTGGGCAGCCACATGGATTGGCAGGATCTGACGCAGTGGTTCAAGGGCAGCACTGCCATCGATAATCATCATCATCATCAGCATCAGGACCACAAGATGTCCACACCACCACCGCCACCGCCGGCCACACCAGCACTGGGAGGACTGCCACCGGGTGCCATTCCCATGCCCATTCCCGCGCCCGATGCCGATTACTCCTTCCTGATCAGTCTGCATCCGTATCTCAAGGAGATGAGCGGCAAGCAGAATCGCCGCTTTCGCCAGAAGGTCGTCGGTCTCATTGACAATGTCCTGGATAACATTGATGTCTAGGGATTTAGAGGGGGAACCAAGAGGATACAGAGGAAAACGCTTAAAAATGGAATTATACGACCTATTGATACCCTTTAAAATGGAAAAGTTAATAGGGATTATCATCTGAATATTGTGAAAACTAAACTGGAATGCCATAGAAATCTGTTCAGGTTTAAAATTAACTGCAAAGGCATCTAAAAGTAGGCAACGAAAAATTTTAGGGTTGAAAATCATTGCAAAATGTGCATCTTTTAAAGGCCTAAAATTAAAATCTGTTTAAAAAATTCAATCATTTCTATGGTAATATTGATTCATAAAAAAAAATAATAATTAATTTGATAAGTAAATATTTCTTTACATACTGTGGCCACCTTTTTTTTGTTTTGATAATTCAATATACATTAATGCTTTTGTAATCTATTTTTTATGAAATATATTTTTAAATAGTATTCATTAATGTGCAAAACAAATTATACAAACTTTCCTCTGTGAAAAAAACGAGAACAATTTACAAAGCAAGGAAAACCACACCCAAAATAATGCCAACAGTGCCCATTTGTTAAATGTATGTGTAGTATGTAAATTTGTATTGTGCTATTTGTTGTTGTTGAACAAACAAAATCAATTATTTGTTAAATGTAAAATAAAATTATAAAAAAATTAAGTTGCAAGCTTAATTATTTAAATTATCATGTCTTAACAATGTTTAATTTAGTTAATATTCTTTCTATAAGCTTTTCGAATTTGTTGATAAATCATTTTATTATTTATAAATTAAAATATGTATAGTTTCTTATTTATTTTATGTTTTTTTCACCCATATCTATATTCAATTACCTTAAATTTAAACCTATTCTTCAAATATTCGAGGTTTTTGCTGTCCATTTACTTAAATTTGTTTGGTTTGCTTAATTTTCTGATAATTTGAATTGAAATTTGAATTTTATCCCTCCAAAAGCTTTATTCTGGCTATTTTCTGGCGTTCATTGCTAGCTTTTTCCCGCTGTCAGCTAGTGTTATCGATAGGCGATCGGCGCACAGCTGATGTCCGATAGACAACGACGAACTTTCCAGCATTTTGTTGTTGCGGCTATCCCTGTTGTTGCTGTTGTTGCAAACGTGAAATACAAAAGGAAGACAGTCGCACGGAATACTTAATAGCAATATGGAATAATTATATTATCGCTGGCAGCAGGAAAACGAGTTAAATGTGTCAATAATTGCACCCAAATACACATGCAACTTCGCGGTTGGGTGAGTCTCAGTGAGTGGTTGCCATGTGCTCCGCGTGCTTGCTGGCGTGTGCGTGTATGTGTGAGTGAGTGCTCGTTGGGTTTTTAATTCATTTTGCGCTTCTTTTTAGTGCTTTTTTTTTGTTATTGTTGTTGCTGTTGCCATTTTAGCTTATTTCTTCGATACGAACGTGATGTAATTTCGGCTAGCGCTGATAAGCCAAGTCAGTTGAACAGCGACCGCTGTGGCAGTAAGCAGCGTTTAATTACAAACTATAACTTTGATTTTTGCCCCCCAAAAAAGGTTACATAAAACCAACACACGAAACGCAGACGCACACGGCCTCCTGCATTTATTCGGAGATTCATTTTGGGTGAAAGTTCCCATACGGTCGAGTTTTTCAGTGATTAATTGTACATTTTTCTTTCCCCTTTGCAGCGTGTGACGTCTTCGTCGCTGCTTCTGCTGGCCCGGACCCGGCCACGCTCCCCGCACCGTAACAGTCGCCGCTACCTCATCCCAATGAGCACAATGAATCAATGCCAACGCCAGCTAACGAGCCAACCAGCAGCAGTTGTTGTCCCACCGAAGAAAACGCCACAGTTGTTTGCTCTCAAAAAGAGGAGAATGTCGGGCACAAATCCAGAGAATCCCTCGAATGGACAGGGAGAGGAACATCCTCAGCACCATTCCAGAACGCTGCAGGCCGAGGACCGGCAGCGTATCGAGGAGCGTCAACGACAGGCCTTTGAGTTCTTCTCGCAGACCCTGCAAATCTATGGCGTGGAGGAGTTAATCTTTTGCTTTAACGGCGGCAAGGATTGCACCGTGCTGCTGGACCTGTTGATGCGTTACCTGCGCCAGGAGGGTATCTCCAGCAGTGACATTCCCATGCTGTACATCAAGTCCGGTGATTCGTTTGTCGAAATTGATGATTTTGTGGAGCGTTGCGTGACCAGTTACCGGGTGAAGCTGGTGGAGTACGAGGGATCACTGAAGGAGGCACTCACCCATATGACAGCTGATATGCCACGCATTCGGGCGGTATTTGTGGGCAGCAGGAATACGGATCCATATTGCCAAAATCTGGCACCCATGCAGGTGAATATGAAGTAATTAGGGATGTTTAGAGAGAGATAAAGTTAGATAGGATGTATTGGTAGCAATATAGTATTCAATATCATATAGAAAGTATTTTAAATTATCTAAACATGTACGAGAAATGTTATTTTGTTTCTTTCGAATGTATTTTTGTATATATCTCAAACAGAATATTCATTTATATTCAGAAAAAGGTGTATTAAGCATGTATTTATTCAGATCATGTCATATTTAAGACACTAAGTAGCTTTAAGTTTATTTTTTGAGTTCCTAAGAAGCTTTTTATTAATCCCAGGCATGTTCTTTCACTTTCTTTATGAATTATAAGTAAATAATACATTTTTTATAAGTAAAGAGGGACACTTTAAGCCCACTAATCAAAGGCATATCTCTATGAATCAATGTCCAATCATGAAAATAACATTTCTTATGCTTTATAATTATCATACTGATATTGTTTTTTGAAATGTCACGTTGGTAGGCCGCAGATAAGAGCTTATTATACGGAAATGGTTTTATTTTGATTATGTAACCAAGCTTAAGTGGTTATAAGACTCGATTACAACTATGTAAACCTTTACTCTCTTCATTTACCAACTAAAAATAAGCAAACTATTTCTGATATATAAAAATGTAACCTTTCTTATTGATAATTTATGTCTAGAGTACTCTTATTTACTATATCTCTCTCACTCTTTGTCAATTTGCAGCCCACGGACAACGACTGGCCACCGATGATGCGTTTGAATCCGCTGCTGGAGTGGACCTATCACGATGTCTGGCATTATATCCATCTGAACAATGTGCCCTATTGCAGCCTGTACGATAAGGGCTATACCTCCGTTGGTAATCGCTCCAATACAATTCCCAATCCGCATCTGCTACGTCCGCAATGCAACAACTGTGATTGCAATACCGCCAGCGACTGTGATTGGGCCGAATCGGGTGGCTATAGGCCCGCCTGGGAACTGGAGGATCCCACCCTGGAGCGTGCCGGCCGCCTGCCCAGGAAGTAAAAAAAAAGAGTCTGTGAAATCTCCTCCAGAAATTAACCAACTTAACTAAAATCCCTTGTGCCTGTCGCGTGGCTGTAGTGTAATTGCTTGTATAGCTTAAATTCTAGTTAGTCACAAATTTTGTATATATACGTACTATATAGAAGGTTTTATATGTTGGAAAACAGTGCTTAAATTCGTGAAATACTAAGATGTAATTTTGTTATTCCTTACTCTGTACTTAAGTGCACTATAATTTAATTAAATTAACTGTTAATTTCATCATTTACATGTAATATTAACGTATCCCAAATATGCAACGATTGTGGAAACGGAATATGAATTAATTCATTACTCAAAATGTGAACAACAAGTACGTAAATATTTACAATTTCTTATTTTTTTATAATACTATCTAATTTGTATTGTATTGAAGGTACAACAAAGCCTTTTTGGGAGATTTTTTTTTTTATATTTTGTTTGAAACCAACAAAAATTAATTATAATAAAAATATTGAATGAAAAGTGAACTCAATTTTTTTATTAAAGGTATGTTTTATTACCTTGCCTTTAATTACTAAAAGAAATATATAATATTAAATATTTATGAAGGAAAATTAAAGTATTCATTTTATTATATTAAATATATAAATAAATATTTTTGTATATAATTTTAATTTCCGCGCCTAAATTTGAATTCTGAAAGCTTTTTAATGTTTGTTTTAGATTTGATTTTTTAGGTTAAGAAATGTTTTTGTTCTGTAATACTTTATTTCTTTTCAATTTATTTATTTTATTTCTCTTTTGCAGACATGTCTAAATTTGCTCGGCTGTTGATGCTGATCAAGAATATGTATGGCCAAAATTATTATATCCCGGAAAGCTTTTAAAAGTCAGCTATAAAAAGCTCCGAAATAATCGACTTTGAAAAGTAGCCAAAAACCGTCGGTGTGGCATCACTGGCCGGCCTAAACAGCTGATTTTGCCGCTTGCACGAAAAGAGAAGAAGCAACAAGAAAAAACACCGGTCACTTTTCTCGTAACATTTTCAATCGCTCTCGACAAGATTCCGTGCTTTACGTAACCCACCAAGCAAACGGCGGAGGCTGATCTCAGCGAAGACATCATCTGGCAGGCAGCGGCGCTCTCGAGTTTCGAGTGATTCACCCACGCTCGCAGCGGCGTGCAGAAACCGGAACCTAACGCAATGTCGCGATCCGCTCAAGACATAGCAGCGCTGCTGCGCGGCCTGCGTCTGGTGGCGGAGGCATGTGGGCGCGATCAGCTCGCCCACGGTCGTCACCTATGGAGCAATTCGAGCATACGCGACCTGGTCGTTGAGAATGCCACACAGACGGCGGATTCGTTGCGCAAAACTGGCCAAAATCCCACCGAGGAGCTAAAGAGACTGCAGCAGGCGGTTGTGGAAACGGGAGAGCGTGGCTACGTTGTGGCCAAGGGATTGTGTTCACTGCTGGAGGCTCAAGTGAAGATGTCGCAACGTGAAGAAAGCTCTGCTTCGGCACAGAAAACATCAACATCATCATCATCATCATCATCATCAGCGTCAGCGTCAGCACCACCGCCAGCTGGAACACCTGGCGTTCGTTCCGATTGGGATGCTGCCAACTTGGATATATCCTCCATAACGCTGCAGGAGTTCGAGGAGATCTTGCAGCGACGCCACAAGGATCGCACTGTTAGCCTGCGTACGCCTGCAACCAAAACCAGTCAGAGTCAAGCCCAGAAGAGTCCAGAGGAAGCTCCCAAGGAGTCGCTAAAGAAACCCAGCGAGGGACTCATCGATCAGGACACACAGTATGTGGATAATGTATTGCGCTTTGTGGCCGGCGCCCAGCCTAAGACCAAGAAGAATGCCGCCAGCGTCGCTGGAGCTCAACCAGAACCTATTGATGTGCCCGAACTGAGCAAGGTGGCCAAGCAGCGTAAGGTGCCCTCATCTCGCCTGGGACGCATGGCTTCCTTTGGCGGCCTATTCGCTGGCCTGGGCATTGGCACCCTCAATGAGCTGACCAAAGGAGCCCTGGGATTGGGCGGTTCCACCAGCATGCGCGAGGCGCTCCTCAGTCCCGCCAATGCCGAACGCATTGTGGATACACTCTGTAAAGTACGTGGAGCTGCTCTCAAGATTGGACAAATACTGAGCATTCAGGATTCGAGTGTGGTGTCACCGCAGCTGGCCAAGGCCTTTGAGCGTGTACGACAGGCTGCAGACTATATGCCCGACTGGCAGGTGGAACGTGTAATGAACACACAGCTGGGACCTGAGTGGCGTCAGCGTTTGAGTCGCTTCGAGGATAAACCCTTTGCCGCTGCCTCAATTGGACAAGTGCATCGTGCCACCCTAGCTGCCAATGGCATGAATGTGGCCATTAAAATCCAATATCCCGGCGTGGCCCAGAGCATTGAGAGTGATATCGACAATCTGGTGGGTATGCTCAAGGTGTGGGATGTCTTCCCCAAGGATTCTTCATCGACAACGTAGTGCGTGTGGCCAAAAGGGAGCTGCAGTGGGAAGTGGACTACGATCGAGAGGCGGAATATACAGAGAAGTTCCGTGAGATGATCTCACCCTATCCGGAGTACTATGTGCCGCAGGTGGTGCGTGAGTTGACCACATCGAGTGTACTCACCACCGAACTGGTGCCGGGCGTTCCCCTTGACAAGTGCTTTGACCTCAGGTGAGTGCAAGGCCTTTGTTACAATTAATATTTATTTATTTAATAAGATATATTTTCTTAACCCCTGCTGCAGCTACGAGCATCGCTCTCACATTGCTGCCTCCGTGCTGAAGCTCTGCCTGCGGGAACTCTTCGAGATTGAGTGCATGCAAACGGATCCAAATTGGTCCAACTTCCTCTACGATGCTCCCAGCCGCCGTCTCATGCTGATTGACTTTGGTTCAACGCGGTTTTATCGTCACGAATTCATCCGGAATTATCGCCAGGTGATTATGAGCGCTGCGGATGACAACAGGCAGGGCGTCCTGGAGATGTCACGTCAAATGGGATTCCTTACCGGCTACGAGACAAAGCAAATGGAGCAGGCTCATGTGGATGCGGTTATGATTCTGGGCGAGATCTTCCGGTATGATGGTGAGTTTGATTTTGGTAAGCAAAATACCACCGAAAGGCTGGCCGCCTTGGTGCCCACCATGGTGGCACATCGTCTGTGTCCACCGCCCGAGGAGATTTACTCCATACATAGGAAGCTATCGGGTATATTTCTACTTTGCGCCAGATTAAATGTCCGTCTTAATTGTGTGCCCTTCTACAAGGACATTGTGCTGGGTAAATTCAAGGACTAACTTTTGATGGGGGAGTGGGAATTTTGCTGAATAATGTTATTTCATAATTATTTTCTTGTTACGTTATTAAAAAAAAAAATAAATCGTAAACGATGTAATGCTTAGTGCCTTGTAAACATAAATGTAAAATAAAAATTATTAGATAAAAAACAGTTAACAAATGTAAACACGTTTAAACAAGACCAAAAGCTTGTAAATATAAAAAGATTATTATCATTTGCATATTTGAACTATTTGCAAAAAAAAAAAAAATTAACTTCAAATGAATTAGCAGGAAAATTCTCCTATAATGATATTTAAACTTAATGGTAACAGAATAAATAGGTTCAAAATGAACACAAATAAAACAAAAATAAACACAGAAAATATATAAATGAGACGATGTTGTTGACTTGGGGACTCCTGACGAGAAACTAAATATATTTTCCCTATTATATTTAATTTATATATTTTCTAGAACTGCTCCATTATCGATAATGCAATCGAAATTATCGATATTCTCTAGTTCGAAGATTATCGTTATTTTATAGTTCGATATTTAGACTAAATGGTATTATTTTGTTTTTCCTTTAGTAGGCCTTGAAAAAATTGGCATTATGTTAAGAAAATTGATTAAATCTGCATTAAATTTCTTTCTTGTTGCTATAAAATATTAACCAATTGTTGAAAAAGTACCTCGTGATGTCTCGCAGTGAAAGCCAAAGGACTAATTATCCTGGAAGTAATCAGTGGAAGGCTGGAAGCTGAAGGGAAGAAGGGTATCAAGATTCCTCAAGAACCAGGACTATTTACTCACAAAAATCAGTTAAGTGAAGCCTTTTGAGTTATTTATTTTATTTTTTTCTATTAAAATTAAGCACCATTGGAATTGTAACAAATCTTGGATTTGTAAAGATGACTAAGCATTTTCTATAGAGAATGTTTTCCCTTATAAATCTTTAACAAACTTACAATTTAAGTAAATTGAGTCCTTAATATGTTTCTTAAAAAACCAAAGCCAAAAGTTTCCTTTTAGCCGCCTTAAGCATAATCCAGAAATTGAATTTATTTCAATTAAAGTTCTGTCTTGCCTTGGCACTGACATTTGACACTGAATAAGGTCGACGAAAGGAGCAAGGTCAAAGGCAACGAATTACACAGGATATTGAAAGTCAAGTTCATATTTAATTTCCGGATTTCTTTTCTATCTCTCTACAAAGCTTCAAACTACTTGCAGTCAATTGCAGAAATGTAATTTATTTAATAGATAATGTTATTTTTTTCGCTGAGAGCATCCTGTACAGGTGTAACGTGGAAATATAGATGAAAATGTTTTTGCATATATTAAAGGAAAGAAGTATATGTGCATTTATAAATTTTCTATTTTTTTATATACCCTTTCAGGGCATTATACTTTTAGTTGAAAGCTTCTAACGATGTGAAGGAGTCATTTCCGACCCTATAAAGCATATATATTCTTGATCAGCATCAACAGGGAAATTTAGCCATTTCCGGCAGAAAAATAAATTAAAAAATTTTTCCAAATTTTGTAAGGGGTGACATCGATAAAGTTGTCAAAAAAAAAAATTATAAAAAAATGAACTTTTTAATATTTTAAATTGAGTATGTAGATTTATTAACCTAATCAAAACTAGCACGAATCTTTTTTCCGAATTAAAATTAAGGCTATTTTGGCTAAGTTATGAGTTTTTAAAGTAAAAAAATTCAAATATCCCGCTTTCCGCAATTCTCAATCTGTTTCCGCCTAAAACGCCATTGTTTTTAAATTTCTACATGAGTATTTTACCCCATGTATCTGCAAACGTGTAAAATTGCTTTTTAGACTTGTAACATTTAAAGTTAAAAAAAAAGCTTTGAAATTCAGGGTGACCAAAAGAAAAATAATAAATCAAAAAATATCGCAACGTCGATATATGGGCAAACTTAATATCGATATATCAAAGATCGACTGCCAACAAGAGGGAATTCTGTTCTTCCTACATAAGAATTCTACATGTATCTGTAAACGTGAGAAATGTTAAACAACAGCTTCTGGATCCAGGGTGACCCGAAACAAATAATAAATAAAAATACCAACAAAGTAATTTAAAATTTCGGTATTTTGACGACTCGTCCCCCGTGTGCACCCTGAATAGAGTTCAGTTAACTAACATCTACCCGTCAGCCAAAGAGCGACAAGAGAGCGGCCATGTTACGAACTTACATTCGACTTGAGAATTCGACCCCATGTTAAAGAGTTCTACCCCAAAAGTGAGAATTCGACCCCATGTATCTTTAAACATGTAGAACGGCACTGTAAACGTGTCAGATGTAGAATGTTAAGCAGAGCTCCGGATTTCAGAGTGACCAAAGTATAAATACCAAAAAATATCGCAAGATCGGCACTTGTGCTTTTGATATTTTGAAAAACTTTCAGCAACCACACTCGTTGGCGGCGAATATCGGGATCGAACGAAGAAGAAAAACAAAAGACGCAGCGAAATAACAAACCCCAGGCGCAGAACGTTAAAAAACATCGAAAGTAAATGACTAGCAAAATCGGGAATGTTAAATTAAACGCGGATGTGAATTAGTTTAAGTGCAATAGTCCAGTGATCGCGATTAAAAGCGTGCTATCAATACAGTTATTCCTATGGCCGTTTAATACAGTTATTTTTTTGCATATTTTTTTGTACGCATATAAATTAATTAAATGATAGTTAATTCGCTGTGCTAGCTGAACATTTACCCGCATCTAAACATATTATTAAATTATTTTGGATTATTTGCTATAATCAATTGACTTGTTGTGCGTGTGTGTCTTATTTAATATTTTTTTTCGTGTTGCGTTATTTTTGTTGTAGAGTGCAATTGCCTGTGCGGGGGAAAGAGAGCAGTGCCCGTTGTCTGTGTGTGGTTGTGAGGAAGTTATAGTTTAATGTTTTAGCTTCAATTGTCGAGCAACAACAACAACAACGAAAGAAGAAAATAAATAAAATTAAAAGCAGCAGCAGCAGCACTAACATCAGCCGCAGCGGCAGCGACAGCAACAACAAGAACAACAACATGACGATGCTGATTGATGTCACACACACACACGCATACGCACGCACCCAAGGAGAATAAAGTAAGTAGAGTAAAGTAGCTGACAATCCAATTGGATTTGCATGGCGAAGATTTAGAAGAGAAGCGCAGCAAAACGGGAGAAGAGCAAAGCGGAGAGCTTTCTGCCCGAGTTTATCAATGAAAGTGAACTTTTTTTCAGTGGGAGTTGTTCACTTTTCCCAATGTGCTAGGGGCGGGGGGGTCACGAGGGGTCAAAAGTTCGCCATTTGCATCGCACACCTGTTCCCGTTTCGTTTTGATATTTCCATTTTATTTCAAGTATTTAATTGGTACAAATAATGAGTTTAAGTTCTTTAAAAGCTTTGATTGTTCTTACAGAAGATTAATAGAAAAACAAGAAAGGAAACCAAACTTTTTATACCCTACCTTATATTAATTAACCCACAAAAAGTTTACATTTTAATTTCAAGAGATTTTCTTGCAAGGGAATAATTACGCATTTTTTAAATCAAAATTTTGCTCTAAATATTTAGTAAGAAGTAACCCCTCTTTACCGTAATTCAAGCTACGCCAGTGGCTTTGTGGTGCATTAGAGGTGCTCCCTGATTGAGGAGGGGATGCTGCGCATGGAAAGAGGGAAGAGGAGGGGACCATGGAAAAAATAGAAAGAAGAAGTAATGGGGAATAATGAGCGGGAATAATAATGATAACAAAATTCTGGGAAGCCGGATAGCCTGACCTTTGTTATCCAACCAGAGAAACCCAATTGAGTGTTGTGTGTTTTTACTAATCGAAACTTTCTAGGAAAATAAATTTATTTTAGATTTTATGCAAATAATTCAAAGGGAAAGCAAATTCCAATTAAGAACTTGGTAAAATCAGAACAAATCAGTAAAAGAGTTGTTTTTCAGAGCACAATATGTAGTTATAAATTAATAAATAAATAAGTAATAAATGAATTGACTTCTATGCAATCATATTTACTTATTTATTTCTTTATTTTGTTGTTTGTTGTCGCTATTTGTTATTGTTTTGTGGCTGCTATCACAAAGCACGTTGGAAATGTCTTAAAAATACATATATATATGTATGTATTGGATGAATAAACTGTTCCAAATTCATATGTATCGATGCGGGGCTATGTGCGTATATATTTATATATATATATGTATATATATATATGAGCATATATATATGTTTGTACGTATATATAACGAGAAATGCCGTTGCCAGCAGCCGCAGCAGCAGAAGCTACAGCAACAGCAACAACAACAACGTACAAGAAACCTTTTGATAATCATATCACGCAGAGTCCACTGATAATTCGCATTGTATTTGTTTTGCTATTGTTGTTGTTGTTATTGTGGTGGTGCTGCTTTATCAGCAAGCACTCTCTCTCTCTCTCTCGGTGTGTGCGCCCTCGCTCTTAATCTCTTAAGCTCTCTCTCTCTCTTACGCTGGACGATCAACGATCAACGGTGGGCACTCTCTTTCGCACAATAATAATAAATAAATAAAAGCGGACATATAATATATAAATATATATATCAATTTCGACTACAGTAGTGCCACTCTATCGGGCATTTTCTAATATATTTATTTTCTAGTTTTCCATTAAAATTGATCTCGGGATAGCTTATAGTTTTATTATTTTTTCCTTGTCCAGAGCATTATATTTTGCCGTTATCTCCGATCGGCCGGACTAATGGAAAGTTTCCAGACTGTGTGTGTTTACATCGTGGCTGGAAAGTATAGAAGCAGGAGGGCGGGAATATTATGATTTTTAGATCAAGCTGAAAATCGAGAATTCAGAAACTTGAAGCTCTCTTCGATTGTTTATCGGACTGTTAATACGATATAATCGTTATCTATTTGAAAAACGATGCCGTTTGGAAATTCGAACATATCTTTTTATTGTTTACAAGTAATTTAAGCGAAAAAATTGAGAAACCTGGGAACTTGCCTTGATTATAAATTGACTGTTTATTCGATATTATTGCAAACTCATAAGTTTAGGAAATTCGAAGATATATAATAATGAAATTTTAAACTCACCTCGATTATTTATCGCCTGATAATTTGATACCTAGCCTTATCTATTTGCAAACCCATTCCCTTGGGAAAGTTCGCTTTTATTGTATACAATTTTATTTAATTCAGTAACTCTATGATTATTTATTGTCATTGAATTCGAACTATATAGGCTTATATAGATAATTCTGCTGATGTTGTTGTTCTCTTGGATCCCACGGGAATCGGTTATTGTTTATAAAGATCGGGTTCACTTTTATATTTGTTTATTTTGTGGATTGCCGCCAAAGAACTTCGAGGGAAACTGTGAGATTAGGCTTCAATGGAAATCGAAGATCAGCTTTTATTGTTTATAGATTTGTTTATACGCTTAGGCTTGTGGTTCTCAGGGAAATTTAAGATCTCTTAGCTTTTTTTTTGCCGGCAAATAAATAAAGTTTTTGGGGGCACTCCGCCGCCTTGTTTATGCTTAATAATTCAATTATAAGAATAATAAGGCAATCATTCATAAACAAATTGAGGAAACGGGAGGAATTATTTAAAATTAAGGATATAAACCATTGTTTACACTTGCTATTTACCACAATTAGTAGGGGAATTTAAAAGAAAAATGTAAGATCTTTCACAAAGTCTGCATATTTACATATATTACTTAATTTTTGTCCATAATTAATTCTTTTGAGTATAAATACCTCTTGAAAACATGCTGGAAATGATTATATATTCATGGCTAAGCTTTCCTTGAATCCATATATATGTTTTCCACTCCTAAAATTAACTGCAAAGGATAACAACTGAACAAAAAAAAAAACCAAAGGAAAGAATAATAATAAGCAAAGAATACAACAAAAAAGAGAAGGAAAAAAAAGTGATTCGAAACTATTGTGTAATTTACATTAACGAGCGGATGTCGTTGGCTTCTACTATATAATGAACCAATTACCCAGTTTGTCTCTTGATTCGATTGCTCTGCAACCGCACAGATACACAGATACAGATACAGAGATACAGATACAGAGATACAGGTACAGAGCACTGAGAGCTGCTGCTGTATCTGTATCTGAATCTCTGGATTCGTATCTGTATCTGTGCTGGTCTCGGTTCTATACGATTCTGTACTGTTTAGTGCTTTTCGCAAAGTGACTGAACGAGATTTTTGTGTGGCCGCCAGTGGATGCTGCTCTTCCAATTCCGATTCCAATTCCAATTCCATTTCATTCATGTTGAAGACACCCACTTGAATGATTATGAGGCACTGCAGATGCTCGCTGTGAGATACAGCTACAGCTATAGCCCCAGATACAGATATACAGATATACAGATACGGAATTCAGAACTCATATTTGGCCATCGTCAAGTGACGCTTCCGCATTTGCCGGTCGGTCGGTCACCCACGTGCCAAATGCTTCAAGATACGCCATAAATTCCATTCAATTCATATTCCATATACCAGAATCCATATATATACTTGATTTCAGATTCCAAATCTTAGATCTCTAAACAAGAAGCGATCATTGCTCGTCAAGTGGCTGCGAAGAATGCGATTTGCGGGCAACTTCAATCGGTTTTATTAATGTTGTTTTATGTACTTCATATATATAAATGCTGAACCTGCACAAAAAAATACAGTAAGCACTTGCTAAGTAACTACTTAATATATAAATAAAGATGGGAAAAATATTTATTATATTAAATGTGTTCATTTTGAACTCAAGTCTTTGGTGTTCATTCTGGAATGAATGAATAACATTGGTAAAAAGTCAGTATAAATACTCCCTTCCTTTAAAAATATGTTGCACACTCTGGAACACCATTGTGTTAATTTTTAGAGCTTCATTTAACAAGTAAGAAAGCTGACTTGAGGATACCAAAATTCCTATACCCTTACAGTGAAAATATATCATAAGTCAGCCAAAAATGTATTAATTTTCAATCGAAAAGCTGTCCTGTGTTAGTTTTTTTAAGGTTAATAAATCTGCATACTCAATTAAATTTTCTTTTAAATTTAAAATTTTGATACATTTTTGGAAAATTTTATAAAATTATAAAAATTGGAAAAAATTTTGGAAAATTTTTTTTCCGGCCGGATATAGCTAGAAAGATTCTCCTGTTGATGCTGATCAAGAATATATATGATTTAAAGGGTCGGAAATTATTTCTTCACTTAGTTTTATGCATAACTATTTATTTATGGAACCATTTGCTTAATGCAAATTATATTAAATTAATTTTCAAGTAAAAATTCAATTTTTTTCAAGCTTGTCTTTTTTTTACCACTGAAATATGGGAACGTAATAATTAAATGTAATTTATTAATTTCCCAACAACAGATTTTTTGTTGTAAATATGATTGATAGAAAAATTGAACTGTCACAGATATAAAAAATTGGTTAGAAGTCATCAGCATTTAATGGGAAATTAAATTAAGTAACAAATTGTTTAATGAAGAGCAAATATTCAAATTGATAACTAAAACATATATAAATAAATAAAAATATATAAATAAACGTAATGCAAATTTTATTAAAATATAAACAGCAACAAAATACATTTTCCTGTGCCAAAAAATAAACGATCTCTTAAAAATTTTCCATTCAAATTTCGTTAAGTTAAGATAACAGCAACTTCTTTGGAATTATTTGCGAAATTTTCCATGCAGTCAGCAAACCGAATCTTTTGTTTATTTATTCTCATTCAAAGACGAAATAAAAGCAGCCATTATCGAACTACGATTCGATCCTATGCGATCCGATGTGTAATTGTGTATTTGTATATCTTTCGAGGGGGGATAATTGCCCAGCCTTAGTGGGCAATTTTCAATTGAAAATCTTTGGCATCGCGCGGCTTTGACCAGACTGCATCCTTGGGACTAGGATTGGTTAATTATTGGAAAAGAAAAGCCAACTCCTTGGCTGCAATTTTCCCTTCTTGCATATTCATGAGGCCGGGAAATGATACACAAATACACGCACACACATCGTACTTTGTATAGGCTTGTAATTTTTTAATAACACTTAACAAACGCCTTGG